CAGCTCACATACTAAAATGTCAGAGATGTTACCTTAGGCTTACAGAACAAAAAAGACGTTTGTGTTACCAGGCAAAGAAGAAAGGACTGTAGCTATCAAAAAGTGACAAAGGGAGGGGGAAAGATGTAATGTAGGATAGTGAATAAAGCTAGATGATCATCTCTCAAATTTCTAAAGTGGAAAAATCAAGAGACAGCACTTTGTAAATCTATGCTTTAGAGTCAGAACAATTAAAGACAATTGAAAAAGTTCCTCTAAGAAGGGGGACCACAGGAGGAGAGAGTAGGGTGGGAAAGCATTATTCATGGTAAGCTCTTCTGTTCCTTATTTTTTACGCCATGTGCATGTATTTCAAACTGGGATAGCAGAGGAAAAAAATTTCTATTTATACTTCAAGACCCAGATCTAATGTGGTGCCAACTCCCTCGTTAAATGAGACCTCACTCTCCTATGCTACTTAAGCACTAGGTTCTCTGTTATCAAACCTCTCAAACTTTACACATCTATTTATGCATCTGTTCCATTACCCAAAATTATTTAAAGATAAAGGCAGTATTTATCTTTGCTATCACATCAAATCTTTAATAACTGTTGAATGAATAAAAATATAAATTACTTTTTTTAGGTCAAAGGCTTTGGGAAGCTGCCAGATCAGGGTCTGATTTCCAAGCCTTTCACTAACCAGCAATGAGACCTCATGTGACCTCAGATACATTATCTAACCTTTCTGACCTTCAGCTTCTTCTGTATCTGTTCTAAGGAGTTGTGAGTTTGAAATAACAGACTGCAACATTCCTAGCACACTACCTCATGCACACTGAAATGTTCAACTCTTTGGTGCCATAGTGAACATGTTAATACTTAGCTAAGTAGGTTAATAAAGATTACTGAAAACGATGCCATATCTCTAAGGTTATCTTCTGTTTGTTTCCAGGACCATACAGGGGTTGACAGGAAGGCAACAACACATAACAGATTCCTTAATAGCTGATTCCATGCTTAATGCAGGAAATGTTTAAGATGAATGTGGAACATCTTATTATACCAGGTAACAAAGGAAGATATCAAAGGCAAATGATATCTGTATTTCATTTCACATGAATATTAATGTCAAAAACTCAAATGAATAAGAGAATTCTACTCCTAGCTAAGATGGAATAGCTTGTGGTAGATCAACTTTCATGTCAAAAACAGCCATGAAAGCTGGATAAATCTCTTAAAAATCTGAAGACATCAACAGACTGCTGAAGCAAAAAAGGGCTTAAGCATCAAGATCCAGGGGAAGGATGAATCTCAGGTGGGTGAGCCAAAAGTCTGGCCTCTTTTATCCTTTGATCATTTACTGATTCTAGGCATAGCATAAGAGACTGAGGATCCGGACAAAGGACCCAAGCAATGGGCAACTGCTAAGAGACAGAGAAACCGGCAGAGGTCTTGGTGGTCTCAAAGGGCACTGTAAGACAAAAATAAGACTAATTTTTTTAGCATATTGAATATGAGGGAGGGGTGTGGAACTTAGTAAACCACTCAGACTGTTTACCCATTAGGACATTTTCTGAAATCTGAAGCCATGCACAATGGAAGATTAAGAAGCTAAGCAGAAAACATCTGGGAAAAAAATGGATTTGGGGGGCAGTGTCTAGATACTGAGAATACAAGGATTAGAAGTGTAGAACTGCCAGTGAGACAGATCCAGGGAACACTCTAGGCTGTCAACTAAAAAATCCCTGATGGACTATATCCTGTAAGGGGGTATTGGGGCCCAGGGTAGGCCACCCCAAAATGTACCTCAATGGCATATTATTTTGAATCAAAGTTACTTAAGAAATAGACATCATAAGGGGGACACTCTGACCCTCCTTTCTGTCTCCCTGAAAGCAGGAAATAAATCTCTCGTGTGAAAGGTGCCCTCCTTGCATCTGGAGGTAGAAGGACACCCTTATCACCAGAGTTAAGTGATATCATTATCATTCAGACTGAGGAGCCTGCATAAATGTTGTTACTTATTTAATTTACCACCCTAAGTCCAAATTCTGTTTTGATTTTTTATTAATTGAGCACCCAAAACCTAAGTTTCTTTGTCCTGCCAATGCTTCACAACTTTATTGTCTCTTTGTCTAAAAGGTATAAAAGCTGCCTGCTTTGGCCACTTCTTAGATCCCATTTCTATGAGACCTCTGTATGCATGATTTAAAATATTTTTTTCTCCTGTTAATCTGTCTTATATCAATTTTATTATTATACCAGCCACAAGAACTCAAGAGGAGAAGAAGGGGAAATTTTCCCCTCCCTGACAGGGGATAACAAGGGTAACCCAGAGGTAGTGTCTGAAGAAAACTGCAACCCAGCCTTAATTAAGTCAGCCCAGGCCCTGACTGGATTAAGGTGATCAGTCCTCACTCTGCCTAGTAGGAGAGTGGTGTAGGAGGTTATCACCATCCAGAGCCTCTATAATTTGTCATACACTGTGTCCAGCATTCAATCAAAAATTATCGGGCATACCAACAGAATGGACCAAATGACCAGAAACCACAGGAAAAAAAGACAATAGAAAGAGATACATAGAAAATCTAAATCATGGAGTTATCAGACAAGAACTTTAAAATAACTGATTCATTAGTTAAAGAAAAACATGGAGAAAACAAAAGGTAAATTCCCCAGAGAACTAGAATCTATTTAAAAAAACTGAAAAGACATTCTAGAACTGAAAAATAGATGAATGAATTAGAAGACAGATTAATAGAAAATATCTAGTCTGAAGCACAAGGGGGAAAAAGAATGGAAGATACAGAAAAGGAGACATAATGAAACACAATGAAAATCCAGATTACTGGGACCCCAGAAAGAGAGGAGAGACAGAAAATGAGACAGAAACAATATTTGAATAATGCCTGAGAAACTTTCAAAACTGATCAAAGAGATCAACCCACAAATTCCAGAAGCTCTGTAAATGCCAGGCCAGAAAATAAAAAGAGAAACTCACACTAGGTACATCATAGTAAAACTAGTGAAAACCAAAACAAAGAAAATTTTTAAAATTCAGATAGTAGGGAGGGGGTGGGGGGGAAATTACGTTCAAAAAAGCAACAAAATGACAAGATTGCTGAATTTTCAACAGAAATAGTATAGACAGAAAAGAATGGAATTACATCTTTAAAGTGGTTAAAAAAAAAACTCCTAGATATATTTAATAGAAATGAATTAGTATATAAGAAGACAGTTGTAAAAATTACCCCAAAACATAGCATAGATATTAAAAATATGAAAGACAGCTTAAGAGATAAGAATAGTACAATATACTCTAATTTACATTTAACCAGAGTTCCAGAAGGAATGCAGAAAACATTGAAAGAGAAAAGGATTGAATAATTATCCCAAACTGATTAAAGATACTACTGCACAGATCGGGTTCGTGCCCCAGTCTGGGAAGATCCCACATGCCGCGGAGCGGCTAGGTCTGTGAGCCATGGCCGCTGAGCCTGCGCGTCTGGAGCCTGTGCTCTGCAACGGGAGAGGCCACAACAGTGAGAGGCCCGCATACCGCGAAAAAAAAAATATAAGAAATATCTTCATAATCTTGGGATACAGAAGAATTTCTTAAACAAGACATAAAAACCATAAATCAAAAAAAAAGCTTGATAAATTTGACATAGAAATTAAGAACTTTTGTTCATCAAAAGACAGAACTAGGAGTGAAAAGACTAACTAGAAAAAAGATATTTGCAAAACATGTAACCAACAAAGAGCCTGTGTCCCTAATATATTAAAAATTCCTGTGAATTAGTAAGAAAAAGACTTTAATAGACAAAGATGAAACCTAAAGACTAATAAACATACAAAAAAGGTGTTCAATGTCAATAATCTTGTTAAAATAGATAACACTATACACATAACAAGCTAGCTAAAATGCAAAAGTATGACAATACCAGATATTGGAGAAGGCTGGGATAACAAGGACTCTTATTTACTCCTGGTGACAATGTGCATAACCACTCTGGAATACATTATATGGTAAAGTTGAAGACACACCTACTTAGACTCAGAATTTTCACTTCTAGAAATACATTCTACAGAAATGTGTTTATTTGCACCAGAAATCACATATAAAAATGCAATGGCAGCCTTATTCATAATATAAAAGACTGAAACCAACTCAAATGTCTATCAACAGTATATCAGCTATAATATGGTGCTGTCCTACCAAATACACTAACAGAACTGAACTACACGAGTTATCATGAACTACAGCTGCACAGTAACATGAAACAACTGTAAAATAAACGAAGCCAAACACCCCCCAAAATATACTGATTCCATTACAGAAAGTTCAAAATAAGGGAAAACAAATTTTTTATTTATTTTTATTACTATTTATTTAGTAATAAAATTTTTATTTTAAAATAAATTTTATCTAAAATAAAATTTTTATTTATTATTTTTTATTACTATTTATTTAGGGATATAGACACATATAGTAAAACTACAAAGAAAAGCAAAAGCATGACTACCACAAATCACTAGACAATGGTTACCACTGAGGTATGGGGGGAAGGTCAGAAATGTGATCATGGAGGGACTCACAGCAGGTCCTGAGGTGTAAATTTGAAAATAATCTCTTCTCTAACCCAGGTGATGGTGACATGGGTGCTCGTGCTCACCTGCATATTCTTTAAACTGTACGTCTATGTATCACAAACAATTGTGTGTATATCTCAAATTCTTAAAAGTTAGAAATTTCAAATTATAACAGCATCACAATCATGGACATACATGATCTCTATGTTCTCTGAGATGCAAGGAGGGACTGTCTCCCTTACTTTGCAGAAAAGGACACTGAAGCTTAGAGAAAAAATAAGTGTTGAAACCTGGTCTAGAACCTAACTTCAGGTTTGCCACTCAAGTATTCATTACCTAGATTCTGCCTGTACAGAGAAGATGCATAGGAAATGGTGAACTTGGTAAAAGCTCCCCGTCTTAAAAAAATACTCCAAATAAGGCTCTTTAAGGCTTCTGGCAGGGACATTTTATTTTTTGGTTAAAGCCACATTAATAGAAATTCCATAAAAACAAGCATGTAAACAAGGTATCAGAACTTTGGTTCACTGAAACATCTCACACCTAAAGCACCTGAGGTACAAAAGCATCTTGCTAGGTACTAGACCACCTGACTCTGCTCCAACCCTACCCTTGTGGCCAGAGATAGCTGACAGGTGAGGCTGGGACCCAGGTCACCCAAGTCACCCAGGACCTTCCCCAGGACCATCTCTGCTCCAGACAAATATTCACGCCTCCAAAGACCCGCCTGACAAAGGCTGGAAAGTAGAGGGGGTCTGTCACGTTGAACTTGAAGACAACATGGGCTGTGGGGCCAGGGAGGTGAAGGGCAGAAAAGGATGTCAGTCAACTTCTGTTGATCCACATGGCCTCAAGAACTCCTGTCCTCGTTCATGGAACCACTTATTGGAGACTGTGAACAGATAGAAAGTATGTTACAATCCTGTTGGTTCAGCAGCCAAAATTAATGATTCCTTCTTGATGACTCCTACATTGGGCCTGGGAATCAGACATGAGTAAGACTTGGTTTCAGGCATCAAGTTGCTTATGAGCTGGTGAGAAAGAGAGATAATCATACAAAACTCTGTCAGTGACACACGATACATGTGTGTAGGTTGCTATGGAAACAGAACCAAAGGGCATCTAACCACGTGGGGGAAGAGGAAACCCCAGGGCTGGGACTCCCTGAATAGGAGTTATCCAGGGAAGAAGATGGACAGAACAGGTGGTTCCTATACCAAGGGGGTCTAGGAAGTGGGAACAGGATGAGAAAGACATCAAGGCATGATCCACGCTGGTATGTGTCAAAGACCCCAACAAGTTTGATATTACTGGGATGTGGTGGGTAGGAACTCAGAGGTAAGAGACGAGGAAGCCTGTCAGGATTGTGGAGGGCCTGGATGTCAACCTCAGGAGCTCTGGGCCGGCAGATCAATCTTGTGTTCTGTGGGTAGCAGAGAAGCAGAGCTGATGCTAGCACTATCACCTAAAGTTGTGTCTTACATGTTCACAAACCACAATTTCACTTCTCAATATAGACTCTTTCATAATGAATGAAAAAACAAATTGCTTTTAATGTACTAATGAAGTCATAGTACTTTTAAAATACAATTAATAATAACTAATTTTTGTAAGTAATACACGAACTTAGCTGAAAAAATCAAATTGTTCTACAAGGCTTATAATGATAAATAGCAATCTCCTACCTACTCCTTTCCACCACCAATCCCCACTTCCTCTAACATTCAACTCTTGTTTCTTCTGATATTTATCCTCATTTTTCTAAAACATAATGTTATTTCTTGACTTCCAACTTTAGATCTTATATGTTGACAGTCTACCATAGAATATGGAGATTTGGAATTTTTTACACCACTCTTAAAATACATAGATCCCCCTCCCATCCCCCAATATAGTTAAATCACAAGTTCTAGTTAACTTAATATTCAGTATTTACATTATTATGTCATGTAAATATTACTCACACTTGAGCTACCGAATAGATGATACAGCTCACCCTTGAGCAACACGTTTGAACTGAGCGAGTCCACTTACATGCGGATTTTTTTCATTAGTAAATACTACAGTACTACATGATCCGCAATTGGCTGAATTTGAAAATGCAGAACCTTGGATATGGAGGAACCGTGCATATGGAGGGCCAACTATAAATGAGACACGCGGCCTTCCCTGGTGGCGCAGTGGTTGAGAGTCCGCCTGCCGATGCAGGGGACACGGGTTCCTGCCCCGGTCTGGGAAGATCCCACATGCCGTGGAGCGGCTGGGCCCGTGAACCGTGGCCGCTGAGCCTTTGCGTCCGGAGCCTGTGCTCCGCAACGGGAGAGGCCACAGCAGTGAGAGTACCGCGTACCGCAAAAAAAAAAAAAAAAAAGAGACACGGATTTTCAGCTGTGCAGAGGGTCAGCACCCCTAACCCCTGCTTTGTTTTTTGGGGTTTTTTTTCAACATCTTTATTGGAGTATAACTGCTTTACAATGGTGTGTTAGTTTCTGCTTTATACCAAAGTGAATCAGCTATACATATATGTATATCCCCATATCTCTTCCCTCTTGTGTCTCCCTCCCTATCCCACCCCCTAGGTGGTCACAAAGCACCGAGCTGATCTCCCTGTGCAACGTGGCTGCTTCCTACCAGCTATCAGTTTTACATTTGGTAGTGTATATATATCCATGCCACTCTCTCACTTTGTCCCAGCTTACCATTCCCCCTTCCTGTAGTCTCAAGTCCATTCTGCAGTAGGTCTGCGTCTTTATTCCCATCCTGCCCCTAGGTTCCTCATGACCTTTTTTTTTTTAAATTCCATATATATGTGTTAGAATACATTACTTGTTTTTCTCTTTCTGATTTACTTCACTCTGTATGACAGACTCTAGGCCCATCCACCTCACTACAAATAACTCAATTTCGTTTCTTTTTCTGGCAGACTAATATTCCATTGTATATATGTGCCACATTTTCTTTATCCATCCATCAATGGACAATAGGTTGCTTCCATGTCCTGGCTATTGTAAATAAAGCTGCAATGAACATTGTGATACATGACTCTTTTTGAATTATGGTTTTCTCAGGGTATATGCCCAGTAGTGGGATTGCTGGGTCGTATGGTAATTCTATTTTTCGTTTTTTAAGGAACCTCCATACTGTTCTCCACAGTGGCTGTATCAATTTACATTCCCACCAACAGTGCAAGAGGGTTCCCTTTTCTCCAGCATTTATTGTTTGTAGATTTTCTGATGGCCATTCTGACTGGTATGACATGATATCTCATTGTAGCTTGGATTTCCATTTCTCTAATGATTAATGATGTTGAGCATTCTTTCATCTGTTTGTTGGCAATCTGTATGTCTTCTCTGGAGAAATGTCTATTTAGGGCTTCTGCCCATTTTTGGATTGGGTTGTTCGTTTCTTTTGATATTGAGCTGCATGCACTGCTTGTAAATTTTGGAGATTAATCCTTTGTCAGTTGCTTCATTTGCAAATATTTTCTCCCATGCTGAAGGCTGTGTTTTCATCTTGTTTATGGTTTCCTTTGCTGTGCAAAAGCTTTTAAGTTTCATTAGGTCTCATTTATTTTTGTTTTTATTTCCATTTCTCTAGGAGGTGGGTCAAAAAGGATCTTGCTATGATTTATGTCATAGAGTGTTCTGCCTATGTTTTCCTCTAAGAGTTTGATAGTTTCTGGCCTTATATTTAGGTCTTTAATCCATTTTGAGCTTATTTTTGTGTATGGTGTTAGCGAGTGTTCTAATCTCATACATTTACATGTACCTGTCCAGATTTCCCAGCACCACTTATTGAAGAGGCTGTCTTTTATCTGTTGTATATTCTTGCCTCCTTTATCAAAAATAAGGTGACCATATGTGCGTGGGTTTATTTCAGGGCTTTCTATCCTGTTCCATTGATCTATATTTCTGTTTTTGTGCCAGTACCATAGTGTCTTGATTACTGTAGCTTGGTAGTATAGTCTGAAGTCCAACAGCCTGATTCCTCCAGCTCCGTTTTTCTTTCCCAAGATTGCTTGGGCTATTTGGGGTCTTTTGTGTTTCCATACAAATTGTGAAATTTTTTTTCTAGTTCTGTGAAAAATGCCAGCGGCAGTTTGACAGGATTGCACTGAATTTGTAGATTGATTTGGGTAGTATAGTCAGTTTCACAATGTTGATTCTTCCATTCCAAGCACATGGCATATATCTCCATCTATTTGTATCATCTTTAATTTCTTTCATCAGTGTCTTATAGTTTTCTGCATACAGGTCTTTTGTCTCCTTAGGTAGGTTTATTCCTAGGTAATTTATTCTTTTTGTTGCAATGGTAAATGGTAGTGTTTCCTTAATTTCACTTTCAAATTTTTCATCATTAGTGTATAGGAATGCAAGAGATTCTGTGCATTAATTTTGTATCCTGCTACTTTAACAAATTCATTGATTACCTCTAGTAGTTTTCTGGTAGCATCTTTAGGATTCTCTATGTATAGTATCAAGTCATCTGCAAACAGTGACAGCTTTACTTCTTCTTTTCCGATTTGGATTCCTTTTACTTCTTTTTTTTTCTCTGATTGCTGTGGCTAAAACTCCACAACAATGTTGAATAATAGTGGTGAGTGTGGGCAGCCTTGTATTGCTCCTGATCTTAGTGGAAATGCTTTCAGTTTTTCACCACTGAGGACAATGTTGGCTGTGGGTTTGTCATATATGGCCTCTGTTATTTGAGGTAAGCTCCCTCTATGCCTACTTTCTGGAGGGTTTTTATCATAAATTTGTGTTGAATTTTGTCAAAAGCTTTTTCTGCATCTATTGAGATGTTCATATGGTTTTTATTCTTCAATTTGTTAATATGGTGTATCCCTTTGATTGATTCATGTATACTGAAGAATCCTTACATTCTTGGGATAAACCCCACTTGATCATGGTGTATGATCCATTTAATGTGCTGTTGGATTCTGTTTGCTAGTATTTTGTTAAGGATTTCTGCATCTATGTTCATCAGTGATATTGGCCTGTAGTTTTCTTTGTGACATCTTTGGTTTTGGTATCAGGGTGATGGTGGCCTCGCAGAATGAGTTTGGGAGTGTTCCTCCCTCTGCTATATTTTGGAAGAGTTTGAGAAGGATAGGTGTTAGTTCTTCTCTAAATGTTTGAGAGAATTCGCCTTTGAAGCCATCTGGTCCTGGGCTTTTGTTTGCTGGAAGATTTTTAATCACAGTCTCAATTTCAGTGCTTGTGATCAGTCTGTTTATATTTCTTCCTGGTTCAGTCTCGGAAGGTTGTGCATTTCTAAGAATTTGTCCATTTCTTCAAGGCAGTCCATTTTATTGCCATAGAGTTGCTTGTAGTAATCTCTCATGATACTTTGTATTTCTGCAGTATCAGTTGTTACTTCTCCTTTTTAATTTCCATTGATTTGAATCTTCTCCCTTTTTTTCTGGATGAGTCTGGCTAATGGTTTATCAATTTTGTTTATCTTCTCAAAGAACCAGCTTTTAGTTTTATTGATCTTTGCTATTGTTTCCTTCGTTTCTTTTTCATTTACTTCTGATCTGATTTCTTTCCTTATGCTAAATTTGGGGGGTTTTTGTCCTTCTTTCTCTACTTGCTTTAGGTGTAAGGTTAGGTTGTTTATTTGAGATGTTTCCTGTTTCTTAAGGTAGGATTGTATTGCTATAAACTTCCCTCTTAGAACTGCTTTTGCTGCATCCCACAGGTTTTGGGTCGTCATGTTTTCATTGTCATTTGTTTCTAGGTAATTTTTGATTTCCCCTTTGATCTCTTCAGTGATCTCTTGGTTATTAAGTAGTGTACTGTTCAGCCTCCATGTGTTTGTAATTTTGACAGATATTTTCCTGTAAATGATATCTAGTCTCAGAGTGTGGTGGTCGGAAAAGATACTTGATACGATTTCAATTTTCTTAAATTTACCAAAGCTTGATTTGTGACCCAAGATATGATGTATACTGTAGAATGTTCCATGAGCACTTGAGAAGAAAGTGTATTCTGTTGTTTTTGGATGGAAGGTCCTATAAATATCAATTAAGTCCATCTCGTTTAATGTATCATTTAAAGCTTGTGTTTCCTTATTTATTTTCATTTTGGATGATCTGTTCATTGGTGAAAGTGGGTTGTTAAAGTCCCCTACTATGATTGTGTTACTGTCAATTTCCCCTTTTATGGCTGTTAGTATTTGCCTTATGTATTGAGGTGCTCCTAGGTTGGGTGCATAAATATTTACAATTGTTATATCTTCTTCTTGGATTGATCCCTTGATCATTATGTAGTGTCCTTCTTTGTCTCCTTGTTTTAAAGTCTATTTTGTCTGATATGAGAATTGCTACTCCAGCTTTCTTTTGATTTCCATTTGCACGGAATATCTTTTTCTATCCCCTCACTTTCAGTCTGTATGTGTCCCTAGGTCTGAAGTGGGTCTCTTGTAGACAGCAGATATATGGGTCTTGTCTTTGTATCTATTCAGCCAGTCTATGTCTCTTGGTTGGGGCATTTAACCCATTTACACTTAAGGTAATTACCAATATGTATGTTCCTATTCCCATTTTCTTAATTGTTTTGGGTTTGTTATTTTAGGTCTTTTCCTTCTCTTGTGTTTCTTGCCTAGAGAAGTTCCTTTAGCATTTGTTGTAGAGCTGATTTGGTGGTGCTGAATTCTCTTAGCTTTTGCTTGTCTGTAAATGTTTTAATTTCTCCATCAAATATGATGAGATCCTTGCTGGGTAATCTTGGTTGTAGGTTTTTCCCTTTCATCACTTTAAATATGTCCTGCCACTCCCTTCTGGCTTGCAGAGTTTCTGCTGAAATATCAGCTGTTAACCTTATGGGGATTCCCTTGTATGTTATTTGTTGTTTTTCCCTTGCTGCTTTTAATGTTTTCTTTGCCTTTTTTTTTTTTTTTTTTTGCGGTATGCGGGCCTCTCACTGTTGTGGCCTCTCCAGCTGCGGAGCACAGGTTCCGGATGCGCAGGCTCAGCGGCCATGGCTCACGGGCCCAGCCGCCCCGCAGCATGTGGGATCTTCCTGGACCGGGGCACGAACCCGTGTCCCCTGCATCAGCAGGCGGACTCTCAACCACTGCGCCACCAGGGAAGCCCTGTATTTAATTTTTGACAGTTTGATTAATATGTGTCTTAATGTGTTTCTCCTTGGATTTATCCTGTATGGGACTCTCTGTGCTTCCTGGACTTGATTAACTATTTCCTTTCCCATATTAGGGAAGTTTTTCAACTATAATCTCTTCAGATATTTTCTCAGTCCCTTTCTTTTTCTCTTGTTCTTCTGGGACCCCTATAATTTGAATGTCGGTGCATTTAATGTTGTCCCAGATGTATCAGAGGTCTCTGAGACTGTCCTCAATTGTTTTCATTCTTTTTTTTAATTCTGCTCTGCAGTAGTTATTTCCACTATTTTATCTTCCAGGTCACTTATCCATTCTTCTGCCTCAGTTATTCTGCTATTGGTTCCTTCTAGAGAGTTTTTAATTTCATTTATTGTGTCGTTCATCATTTGTTTACTCTTTAGTTCTTCTAGATCCTTGTTAAACGTTTCTTGTATTTTCTCCATTCTACTTCCAAGATTTTGGGTCATCTTTACTATCATTAGTCTGAATTCTTTTTCAGGTAGACTGCCAATTTCCTCCTCATTTGTTTGGTCTGGTGGGTTTTTACCTTGCTCCTTCATCTGCTGTGTGTTTCTCTGTCTTCTCATTTTGCTTAACTTACTGTGTTTAGGGTCTCCTTTTTGCAGGCTGCAGGTTTGTAGTTCCCGTTGTTTTTGGTGTCTTCCCCCAGTGGCTAAGGTTGGTTCAGTGGGCTGTGTAGGCTTCCTGGTGGAGGGGACTAGTGCCTGTGTTCTGGTGGATGAGGCTGGATCTTGTCTTTCTGGTGGGCAGGTCCACGTCTGGTGGTGTGTTTTGCGGTGTCTGTGACCTTATTATGATCTTAGGCAGCGTCTCTGCTAATGGGTGGGGTTGTGTTCCTGTCTTGCTGGCTGTTTGGCATAGGGTGTCCAGCACTGTAGCTTGCTGGTCGTTGAGTGGAGCTGGGTCTTGGCGTTGAGATGGAGATTTCTGGGAGATTTTCACCATTTGATATTACATGGAGCTGGGAGGTCTCTGATGGACCAATGTCCTGAACTCGGCTCTCACACCTCAGAGGCACAGGCCTGACACAGCCGGAGCCGGAGCACGAAGACCCTGTCATCCACACGGCTCAGAATAAAGGGGAGAAAAAAAGAAAGAAAGGAAATAATAATAATAATAAAATAGAATAAAGTTATTAAAATAAAAAATAGGTATTAAATTTTTTAAAAAAGTTAAAAAAGTAATAAAAAAGAAAGAGAGCAACCAAACCAAAAAACGAAGCCACCAATGATAACAAGCGCTAAAATCTATACTAAAAAGAAAAAAAAAAAACAGACAGAACCCTAGGACAAATGGTAAAAGCAAAGCTATACAGACAAAATCACACACAGAAGCATACACGTACACACTCAGAAAAAGAGAAAAAGGAAAAATATATATATATCGTTGCTCCCAAAGTCCACCGCCTCAATTTGGGATGATTTGTTGTCTATTCAGGTATTCCATAGATGCAGGGTACATCAAGTTGATTGTGGAGATTTAATCCACTGCTCCTGAGACTGCTGGGAGAGATTTCCCTTTCTCTTCATTGTTCACACAGCTCCTGGGGTTCAGCTTTGGATTGGGCGCTGTCTTTGCGTGTAGGTGGCCTGAGGGCATCTGTTCCCCACTCAGACAGGATGGGATTAAAGTATCAGCTGATTAGGGCGCTCTGGCTCACCCAGGCCGGGGGGGAGGGAGGGGTACAGAATACTGGGCAAGCCTGTGGTGGCAGATGCCAGCATGACGTTGCACCAGCATGAGGCACGCTGTGTGTTCTCCCAGGGATGCTGTCCCTGGATCACGGGACCCTGGCAGTGGTGTGCTGCACAGGCTCCCAGGAAGGGAGGTGTGGATAGTGACCTGTGCTTGCACACAGGCTTCTTGGTGGCTGCAGCAGCAGGCTTAGTGTCTCATGCCCGTCTCTGGGGTCCGCACTGATAGCCACTGCTCACGCCCGTCTCTGGAGCTCCTTTAAGCAGTGCTCTTAATCCCCTCTCCTTGCGCACCGCAAAACAAAGAGGCAAGAAAAAGTCTCTTGCCTCTTTGGCACCTCCAGACCTTTTCCCGGACTCCCTCCCAGCTAGCTGTGGCACACTAACCCCCTTCAGGCTGTGTTCACGCAGCCAACCCCAGTCCTCTCCCTGGGGTCTGACCCCCAAAGCCCGAGCCTCAGCTCCCAGCTCCCACACCCCCACCCCCTGGCGGGTGAGCAGACACGTCTCTCGGGCTGGTGAGTGCTGGCAGGCATCCATCCTCCGTGCAGGAATCTCTCTGCTTTACCCTCCGCACCCCTGTTGCTGCGCTCTCCTCCGTGGCTCTGAAGCTTCCCCCCTCCACCACCCATAAAGGGGCTTCCTACTGTGTAGAATCCTTTCCTCCTTCACAGCTCCCTCCCACTAGTGCAGGTCCCATCTCTCTTCTTTTGTCTCTGTTTTTTCTTTCTTCTTTTGCCCTACCCAGATATGTGGGGAGTTTCTTGCCTTTTGGGAGGTCTGAGTTCTTCTGCCAGCGTTCAGTGGGTGTTCTATAGGGGTTGTTCCACATGTAGATGTATTTCTGATGTATTTGTGGGGAGGAAGGTGATCTCCACATCTTACTCTTCCGCCATCTTTTTTTTTTTCTGGCTGCGTTGGGTCTTCATTGATCCGCACGGGCTTTTCTCTACTTGCGGCGAGCAGGGGCTCCTCTTCGTTGCAGTGTGCGGGTTTCTCATTGCAGTGGCTTCTCTTGTTGCAGAGCACAGGCTCTAAGCGCATGGGCTTCTGTAGTTGTGGCTCACGGGCTCTAGAGCGCAAGCTCAGTAGTCGTGGCGCACGGGCTTAGGTGCTCCGCAGCATGTGGGATCTTCCCGGACCAGGGCCCGAACCCGTGTTCCCTGCATTGGCAGGCGGAATCTTAACCACTGCGTCACCATGGAAGCCCTCTTCTGCCATTTTGAAGCTCCTCCCCTGCTTTGTTCAAGGGTCAACTGTACTTATATTTGCTTTCTTGTACAACTTTTTCTTTTCTCATTTTCTTTTTCATTTGCTTAATTTTCTCTGAACCTATCACTCTTTATCCCCATAACTCTCCAAGAGGGCTATAAACTTATCTCTTTGTGATCATTTCCTGTCACATCCTGCTTCAAGCCTCTCTATGACTCACCACAGCTGCTTCCAGAATAAAGCTCAACTTCAGCCTCCACAGTTTGGTCCCAGGCTTGAGCCTCATCTCTTGGCCCCTGTGCCATGGGCCTCCCCTTGCACAAGAGACAAAGGCAGCCAGCCCCCACACCTATGATGCTGGTTTTAGTCTGTGCCTTGTTCCACGTGGGTTTTGCTTGCCTGGGACACCCTCTCCTCTCTGTTTCCAGTTCTCCCCCACTGCAACCTCAGAACCCTTGCCAGAGTCCACTTTTCTGGGGAGCCATCCTGGACCTACAATGCTTATGTAGCTATTCTTCCTTGGGGCTTCCTTAGCTCTCTAGGCATCTCTGGGAGTGTTCCCAACCAGCTGTCTTGGCACATAACTAGCTGAGTGGACAGCAACATGGCTGGGTGGGACTACCTGTTAGCAAGAAAAAACAAAAACAAAAAACCAAATCTCAAAAAGGGAGACAGTCTTGGCTTTGTGAAAATTTAGCAGCAACTGTCTCCCAGCTCAGAGTCTCAGGCTGACCACTAGAGCCCAGAGGCCAACACCACAGCTTAAGCCACTCACCCCACTTGCAGCCCACAAGCACGGGGCAGGCAGCATGTCTCGTTCGGTAGTCACCTTCCCCGCTCCGCAGGAGGTTGTACCAGAATACAGCCGTACCCTGGAAAGAGAAGCCCTGTCATACAACACCCTTAGATATTGGGCTCAACGATCTGACCCCGAGTACCAAAGAGCCCTCCCTGAGTAGAAACACCCTCACTTTCCCATGTCCAGGGGCACAGGGCTTTGGGACTCCAGTACAGAGAAGCTCCCCAGAAAGCACCTACCCTTCATGGTAGCGTGGATGTTTGGAATCCCACCTGGCCCTGAAGGGACTTCCCTCTCCATCCCATCTCGCCAGATGGAAGCTGAGACCACAGGTCAGGGTTCAGGCAGGAAGGGGCTAAGGCCCCTCAAAGTGATATTCAAGCAGGCCAGAGAATGGGACTATGAGACATGGATGAGGTCTGAGTTCTGCACTTCAACTTTTGACCCACAAGAACCAGAACTTACCTTCTTAGGCCAAAGTGCAGCCCCCAGATCAGGAAAGACAGTGGCACCACCAGCTTCCACATCGCTCATCTGGGAATACAAGGCATAGAGCTTGGCCCTTCTACTCAATGCTCTCAGAGCAACTGAGCCACCAAGGACATGACAAAGTATGCGGATCACCCTCCTGTGAGCATGAACAACTCCACCACCAGCCCTTTGGCCAAAAAAGGCTCTTTCCACACCCTGCCCCTCCCTAAACCCTGTTTAATCTGTGCGGTTCATCAGGACAGTCTCCATGCCATGGAGAGATGTAGGCCTGCAGGATACCCATATCTTGGCTGTCCTCAAGTGGGAAAAATCTGAGTCTGTACTGGGAAAATGCCTGACTGACCCCACCCCCTTTATCCTCATCCAGGCTGGCCTGCCTAAGCCACTGTGCTCTGTGAGCTTCCCTGACAAGGAGCTCCCTGCAGCTTCTAACACCATCTGTGGTCCCAACTATGGATTCTGTTTCTCTGGCTTGAGTAACGTGCAGGTCTAGTCAGACCCTCACCTTCCCAGAACAGCTACCGTCCCCAGGGCCAGCTAGGGCACTGTGTCTCCAGAAGGCCTGCTTTCTCCCACAGTAAAACCTCAAACTAAATGGAACACAATATTCACAGTAGCAAGGCTGCACTCATGCCCACAGAGCGTGCCTCAGCTCATGCCCAAAGCACCACTTCTTTCTCATCTGTCTCTTACTTCAAGTTTTTTGCCTGTAATGTAATCAAACGTGGAGCTAAAATATTTCCACAGGACACATACCAGACAGACTGAAAGGCACCCAACAGACATATGGTAAATGAATAAGATGAAAACCCCTGATGGCTTCCCATCAGAGTGGGGATCAAATCCAGGCTCTTTCCTAGAACCTGAAGGTCCTGGCAGTCTCACCAGCCTCTCCCTCTAGCCACCCCAAATTAATGCACTATCTCTGAGACCCACAACCCTTTTTCTCTTTTTCCAACATCCCAATCTCCTTCCCTCTTCCAGGTCTCCACACATTCTCTTCTCTACCAGAAATCATGTTCCACCAACTAATTTCCACTCAATCTTCAAGTCTCAACCGACATGTTACTTCCCAAGGTAGGCCTTCTCTGAACCCCAACTCTGCACTACTTCTTCAAAGCACTTATCACTATGGTAACTAAACAATTACCTCTCCTATGTTTAAAAGCAAGTCTTTCATATTAGGACCGTAAGCCTAAGAGAGACCACAAATGTCCTGCTCACCAGCATGTTCACGGCAGTCCCCAGCACATAATAACCACATGATAAAAACTTAAACGAGACACCAAAGGGAAAAGTGGACACAGGCTTCTGTCTCTAAGTTACTTGACAGCTTCTATGCCTCTCTAGACCTGGCTGTCTCAGCAGAGGGGAGAGGAAACTGTTCCTTGTGTGAGAGGTAAACCCAACAACCTGTGGCTGGAGTACAGGCAGCAGGTGGCAGGCAGGCAGGCAGGCCACTGAGCTCTGGGGAAACGAAGGCAGCTTCATCTAAGAGCACTTCCAAGCTACCTCCTCACTCTGCTGCCAAGCAGGGAACCCTCCAGGACACCCATCCCAAAAGTCCAGACTAGCTCTGGGCCATCTAATAGGAGCCAGGGATGTAAAAGTCACGGGGGTTGGGGGAAGCACACAAATGGGAACAAAGGGCAACTCTCTACTCCAGCCAAGACGGGCGCTGAGGGCCAGAAGGGCCCAGCCATCAAGCAACAGCTGGTGGTATCAGCTCTGACAGGAGTGGATATAAGAGAGCACTCTGGACCCAGGCTCCCCTTAAGGCCCATACACTGCACGCGTCATACTCACGTAGTTTAAGAACGTGGCCACACGATTCCCCGTCCCTAAACGCTTGAAAGCATCTTGCTCATCCTTCTATAAAATTAAGTGAGAGTAAACAGTGGGCCTGTACCCAATACTTACATAGTTAAGAAACGTCGCTAACCTATTTCCCTCCGTTTTGAGGCCGCTGTCAAAAGGTCGCTGCAATAGATAACAACTTTCACCCGAGTTTGCAACTGACTTCACCCGCCACCCACAGGACTGGGGCCAAAAAGGTCAAGGGAAGGTACTAAGTATGTGTTCCATATATTGGCCTGGACCAGGGGCCAAGGCTGCAAAGGAAACCCTGGCCAGGCATGGGGGAGAGGGGGCAGGAACAGCTTTCACAGAGACCTAGTGAGGTCCTCTGCTTTAGAGTCAGGGCAAAGAATGGCAGGCTTGGGCCAGGGGGACTACTCCTGACCTCACAGGGGAAACAGCTGGGCTGCACTTGGCTCTGGACTTGGGCTTCTCCAGCAACAAAGAGGGGGCCCTGCTGAGGCAGGGGGGCCTGATGTGAAGGCCACAGTGCTCCTAAAAGCTCCAGCCTTCTCAAACCAGCTACAGCAGAGCCCGTGAAAGCACCTGTGATTTGGGCCTTACCCTAGAGAAGTCAAAGTGTGGCTCGTACTGTCCTCCCATTCCATAATTAGCAACCTGGTGGGAAAAAACAGCATTGGACTGTTAGCAGCATGAACCACCCTGAAGCAGCCCATCTCCCTAGGTAACAACCAGATCCCCAAGAGCAACCTCTCTAAGGAGGGTAACTATCCCCTGCCAGTATGGGCAGAACAAATGCTGCAAACAGGTCTACAGCTGTGTCCAAGAGGAAGGGTGCAGCACAAATGCGGTTTCCCAAAAAGGAAAAGATGGGCAAGCTGCAGATGACCACTGTGGAGAAGCTCCAGCCCTTCAGGGCAGCAGCAGAGGGAGCCCTCCTTGAGGCAGGCCCTGGCCTGGGCCCTGATTATTTGGAAGATAATGAGATGGTAATCCAGAAGAATGCCAACAACAAACTCAGGATTGGGTTTTTTTTTTAATGCTAGTTTGGAAGCTACTCAGTACCTGGCAGTGCTCCTGTCACCTCTGTCACCATGCCCCAGAAGCTCTTCTTGGTCAGTCTGAATAGGACAAACAAATCCCACTCCATCTCACAGTGGTACACTGCACAGAGTAATTCTGCATCCAAGTGAAGCAGCAGGGAATGGGCGGCTGGCTGCAGGGGGACCAAAACTGCTGCTCTACCTCAGTGCCCCCAGTGGAAGCCTGGACCTGGAATAGGGCCTGAGCCACCTCAGGTGCCACTAATTGGATTAGAAATCATAAATGCCTTTATGAACAGTTTATCAGCACAATATAAGTCCTAAATCACAATGGTTATTTTAGCTTCAGTAGCTAGATGAGAGATGAAGTTCAAGACAAAATACAGAATCTGACATGAAAGCTGATGTACCAAATGGTACCACCAATGTCCATCTGGGAACACTTGGTTACTGTATCTTAATGAAACCATACACACCTTTGGAGTTCAAATATTAGTCCTCAGAAAATTGATTTTGTATACCCGTTTTGGCAATTCTAACAGGTGAAAGATGCTGCAAAACTGGCAATAATGGCGACCCATGGACATGAGGGAGAGAGAGGAAGGGTGAGCTTTACAAGAGAGAAAATCCTCCTCTTGGAGTAAAAAACAGTATTTATCAAATGTGATGAAATGTGGATTTTCGGCAGCATGATTTTTCCATGTCGAAAAAAATTAAAATGTTGATATGAAGAATCAGAATCAGTGAGAAAATATGCTGTCATATACTGCTTTAGCCTTCAATATTCCCACACCAGGGGCTTCCCTGGTGGCGCAGTAGTTAAGAATCCGCCTGCCAATGCAGGGGCCACAGGTTTGAGCCCTGGTCAGGGAAGATCCCACATGCCGTGGAGCAACTAATCCCATGCGCCACAACTACTGAGCCCGCGCGCCTAGACCCCTGCTCTGCAACAAGAGAAGCCACCGCAATGAGAAGCCCGTGCACCGCAACGAAGAGTAGCCCCTGCTCGCAGCAACTAGAGAAAAAGCCCGCACCCAGCAACGAAGACCCAATGAGGCCAAAAATACATACATTTATTTTTTAAACAATTAAAAAAAAAAAAAGAGTCCCACACCAAAAATAGCTAGAAATCCTATCAACAGTGCAAGGAGGCCTAGTGCAAGGAGGTCAGCAGGTGACCCTAAGCCTGGAGGTTCATCTAAGCAGGGAAGTTCTAGAGCAGTTGATGAAGTGACATTACAAATGCTTTTTCTTTGGATCCACTATAGTCGAGAACTTGAAGAAAATTTTAAACATGACTGTGATCAATTTGCCAGTGCACTCAGGAAAATTCAGTTGCTGCTTGTTGTTGGAGCAGCAGGGTATGACTGCATTTTCCAACACTCCCACTTGTTGGATGGAGTGCTTAAACCTTCACTACCTGGGGATAATGAAAGCAGCTGTATTGTTAACAGCTGGCTCATCTTTTAACAGTTTTGGGAATCACATTTGATCATGGTGCTAAAGCTATTATACCTATACTATTTTAATACTGTCCCCAAATAGTACAAGGGTCACGGGAACTTCCGGATGTGCAGCCATCAGAATCACCATCTGGGAAAACTCCGGGCCACAGACCCATACCTTTAATAACAATCAAAACTGATTCCTGGGAGGAGGTATTCATTTGTTACAAAAGTAGAAGAATCAGTCCTTTGAAAAATGTGGGTATTTATGATACTGAGGTCAGAATGAAGGGGAAAAAATGGTTAGAAATCACTTATTTGGTGAGGCTGACACATCTAGTCGGAAGTGTCTTCAATCTTCAAGAATTCTGGCAATGTAGCATCTCTTCCACTCTTAGGCCCTCATCCAATTCAAAAGAAAGCCTCTTTTGCCCTTTCTTCCAAATAATCTATAGCAAACACATCAACTACAGATGAAAGAGTGTCAATAGATAGCATAAAAACCAGTTCATTTCCAGAAGCCTGTAGGGACCCTGGTGAGAAGGCTGTTGCTGGTGCCTAGGCATGTATCACACTGCATGGAATGTGGAATGAGCACAGACAGGTACTGAAACCCAGGTTCCTATCCTCAGACCATGTAGGATCAAAGGTTTCAACAATGCTGGCTGGCCAAGAAAATGCCAAGACAGTTCCTAGAGAATGAAAGCAAACAAAAATGGTGTCTCAACCTCCTGGCAGCTGTGGTCTTCTTCCAGAAGAGCCCTGACCATAAAAGCCCCTCCACTGGAGTTGCGGCATTCAGATCCCATTCATCAATTGAGCTACAACATGACAAGATATCAGTTAAGATGAAACCAGGGTTGTGGCAGAGAAGGCAGTCCAAGCACGAAGCTGCTGTCTTCTGAGGTTGCATGTGAGATAGGGTTCAGAGGGTGCAGCCAGCAGAGCAACAGGGGCACAGGTCCTGTACACTCTTTTCAGCCTCTTGGTCCAGGGTACAGAATCAGCAACCAAGAAGAACATCATCCTCAGTAAGGGCCACAGCAGTCCTAACACTGGCTCTGACATGCAGTGGTAGATGTCTTAACAACAACAACAAGGCTGCTACAGGAAGATATGAATCACAACTACGCCAACAGGGATGCACCCAGGGCATGGAGAGCCCCTATCGCTCTTGAAATGATGGTGTTCTCACACGTAAGAGGAAAGTGGGAGATGTGGCAGAAGTCCTCTCTTGATGTGCTTGTCTGCAGAACTTACCCAAAAATTAGGCTTACAAACTCAACACTAAGTTGAGTTGAAATGAAAAAATTGTATTAAAATTTCACAGGACTGTAAGATAATCAGCATGTTTTTAAAAACTCTGGTGGACTTCACATAAATTCATAAGGATGACCTTCAAAATTGGTTTTGATTGCTGACACAGCTATGGGGGGGAAAATGAGTGCTGATTTGCTTGTATGTGTCCAGGCAAAAGTTCAGAGAATCTTTTCCAAGTGATCTCAGTTCAGTATTCTACTGAAGAGCCATGGTTGATCAGGTAAAGTGTGATATTCTTAAATACACGGGAACTCTGGCCAAACAGACAGATCCAGGGGGCTCAAGAAAAATGCCATTGAAACTTCTCTGGCAGTGTCTCAGATCGTCATTTTACAGCAGAACCCAGAAGTTGGGATGTTCAGAAGGGAGTGTGGCCAGTACTGATTTGAACTCAACAGAACAGACAACACATCAGTAGGAGCTTTACCCAAAATTTTCAGCATGGTGCTACCATGTTTCTTCACAATCACCTCTGAAATGAAAAACAGGAGGCCAGGGTCCCAAGGGGGTACTTAGAAAGGAGCATTCCACCTTCACCAGCCAACCAGTCCAGGCCTCTCAATGCTACCAATGTATTACAGAACACTTTACCTCCAAGTGCATTTGACTATGACTCAGAACCATGACCCATGAAGATATTTATAGCTCTTAGAGGTGTCCCTGAAACAACTTAGGATTTCAGCTTCTGTAGTCAAGAAGACATAAATGGGCCTGCCATGCCCACCAATGATCCCTAGCTCCGAGTATGATACTTGGGCACACAAGAGACATTCAGTTGACATTTGTTCAATGCTAATTGTTGAATGCCAGTGGGCATACTTAATTCTGGCTTCCCAACACGACGCCACTCCACACTCGTAGCATCCTGCAGTCCTACCGTTTACTGGGCAAGCCTCCCTATGTCTGGCCCTGAGCACCCTGGAAGAACATCTAGCTAGAAATACTCCCTTCCCAACTCCAGGGTTCCCAGAAACAAGCCATACCTGCAACAATTCTGCAGTCTTTACTGTTAGGCCTGTGATGTGCTGCATCCGAAGGTTCACCCGAGCCACAACTGGGTCATCCTCCTCCTCCAGCCAGGAGCTAAGCCAAAACAAGAGGGAGAGAAAGGAAGGTGGGGAAGGCAGGTTTCGATGCGGTTCTGCACTCTCTCCCCAGCATCAGGGCCAGCACTAACAGGCAGCACAGGGTGAGTGCTCCATGTAGGGGAGGTGCCAGCAGGGAGGACAAGCCAAGCCACCCTCCCTTCAATAGCAACTGGGAGGCCCAGGAGTTGGGGCTTGAGCAGCCACCCCGCCACCACCATCACCTTTGCTAACCTTTTGGAAACTCTGTAGCTGGCAACAGTGAGAACACCTGTCTTGGGATCACGAACAGTGGCTCGTGCAAGCTGGAAGGCAGGAAGAAAGGGCAGACGTATCATTCTTTGCCTTGAGTATTTTTTTCTTGGAGAGACTGGGTCCTGATCTGTCAATCAGGCCAGTGCGGGAAGGAGCTCTGCAGTCAGTGGCTCTAGCCAAGGCCCCATGATCCTGCAAGCCAGGCCAGGGCAGTGGTCTGGGGCCTCCAAATTCCTGCTCTATCAGACCCTGGCCACTACCCTGCTTGGCTGCTGCCTGCCCCTGGTCCCTCCCAGGTCCATGCTGTCTGCAGAATTATGCCTATGGAGTCTGCTTTGTCCATCTGCCCATCTGCCTGAACAGCCCCTTTCTCACCAGGCCCACCCACCACACCTTCCTGCACCTGGCTGCTCCTACCACATTCAGACTGTGCTGCCATCCCTGAGCCTCAATCTTGCATGCTCCTCTCAACGTGGTCAACTACACTGTCCTGAACCTCAGCGGCCTTCTCTGCCCAGAAACCTACCCAAACACTCTCCTACTGCACCAGCCCACGCTGGCCTCCCACTGCTGCAAGGAACAAAAAAAGAAGGCACAGTTTTCACTACCTTGGGAGGCCTGCGACGTCAGATGATAGAATAGGAAAGGAATCTACAAGGTGCAATAAGTAAACTGCTGCCTGGAAGCCACCTCCACATACTCACTCATACACACACACACACACACACACGCACGCACACACACGCACGTACGCACACCCCACCTCACCTACCTCATATCCCCCCAGTCTCCACAGACTGGTGCAGTGATACTCCCAGGAAGGACCTGCTGCCTGGAGCCAGCCCCCAGTGCTTCGGCTGTGGACTGTCCTAATGAGTGCTTACTATGTGCCTGGCACTGCTGGGTGACTAAGACATGGCCCCTGCCCTCATACAACTCAGTCAAGTGGGGAAGGCAGAAAACTAGCTGGGTAATCACAGCACAGCATGGCAGGTGCTGGGAGAGGGGAAGCTCAATGTCTGTGGGAGCTCAGTCTACAGGGTCAAGAATGGTTTCCTACAGGGGGGACCACCTAGCTGAGATCTGAAGGATAAGTTGGAGTTAGCCAGGTGGGAGAACATTACAGGAACAGGGAAAGAACAGTGATGCAGACGCCCAGAGGTGAAAATGGATGTGGCACTATGACTGTGGGTTAGAACTCAGAGCAAAGAGATGAGAATAGGCTGAGGAGGCAAGTGGGGGTTGGGCTGGATGCAACCTATGACCAATGAGAAGCAGGGAAGGCTTTATGCAGGGGAGGGACACCACAATCTGAATGTAAGAAGGATCACTGTGGAGACATCATGGAGGGCTGGTTAAGGAGGCGTCAAAGCAGGAAGGAGGAGGCCAGTGAGGATGTAAGGGAGAGGTCAGGGCAAGAGGTGGGAGAAGGGATGGAGGGGGTGGATGGACTAGAAGACTGGCCAGGAGGTGAGATCAACCAACCTGGACACGAGCTGCTGCAGCACATTCTGGTAGGATGGCACTGCACCCAGAGCAGAGAGCTTCCCTGAGATCGTATCTACGGTTCTTTCCTGATGACAACTGCAGCTGCAGCTAGACCCCATCCAAACATGTGAGCTGCAGCACTGGCCTGACACCCACAGGGAGGCTCTGGGCAGCTGGGGCTCTGCTCCCAGGGATAGACAGGGCTATTCTGAAAGCAGACCAGAGACCCACAGGCAGCTGCCAGGCATTCTCCACAGGACAAGTTAAGCTCATGGGCCCTACTTCAAAGCCAGCATAGCATCTGTCCCTCACAGGCTCCGGAAAGGAGAGGTCAGCTTGTAATAGCCAACGTGTTTGGCTCTTCACATGGCTTCTGTTCAAAGACAAATTTTCCCAACACGCTCCTCCCTGCCCACACTGCCCAGCCACACCCATGTGCACACATGCACCCAACATCAACACACACACACATAGCGATGTTTTAGTGCTTTGGTCGGAGAGACAAGGGAGAACTCTCTCAGGAGGCTATGGCACAACAGTGCCTCTCCCACCTGACAGCCAAGAAAGCAGTTTTCTTTCCTGGAGGAATCTGGAGCTGGTCCAGGGAATGGAAGCTGGGGGGCAGGGGGCGAGGTGTTTCTGGTCCCCATTCTCCACACACACTGGCTAGACCCTCCCTCAGCGACATCAATGACACTAAGAACTGACTCTGAGCCATAGATGTCCTAGTATCTCAAGCCAAGGCTGTTCCAAGATACAGTCCAGGGCCTAGGATAGGAACCTATTTTAGATCTCTCCAGGAGTGCTGGGCCTCCTGGCCTCTACAATTCTATTAGGAGCAGAGCAATAGAGGATCTCCAGCTAAATCCTCCCTTCTAATCACCAGTGATAGGAGAAGGATGGGGATATGGCAGAAAGTAGTTCTCTTTGAAAGATGTCAAAAAGGAGAAAATCTTTTATGAACTAGAAATAGAAGAATAATTTTATAACATGATGAATATATACAAAACCAACAGCCAACTGCATACTTAGCAATGAAATACCAAAAGAATTTCCATGAAATTCAGGAACAAGACTAAGATTCCTATTGTAAAAATGCTCTAGAAGCTCTGGGCAGTTCAAGAAGACAACAAAAACAAAAGAACTATAACTATTAGGATGGAGAAAACAAAATTTTTCTTATTTGCAGATGCTAATACTATCTGGACAACCCAAGATGATTAGCTAAAATCCAAATGAAGAATAAGTGAGTTCAACAAGTAGCTGTGATCTGCACCATGTCTGTTTCCTTGCAGGTAAAATGAAGATGATGACAGAGCCTGCTAAATAGACATAGCAGTTAACATATGTTAAGGACTTAGAAGAGGGCCTGCCAGGACTTCCCTGGTGGTGCAGTGGTTAAGAATCCGCCTGCCAATGCAGGGGACACGGGTTTGAGCCCTGGTCCGGGAAGATCCCACATGCCGCGGAGCAACTAAGCCCGTGTGCCACAACTACTGAGCCTGTGCCCCAGAGCCCGTGAGCCACAGCTACTGAGCCCGCGTGCCACAACTACTGAGCCCATGTGCCTAGAGCCCGTGCTCCACAGCAAGAGAAGCCACTGCAATGAGAAGACCGTGCACCTCAAAAGAGTAACCCCCACTCACCACAACTAGAAAAAGCCCGCACACAGCAACGAAGACCCAACGCAGCCAAAAATAAAATAAAATAAATAAATTTACCGAAAAAAAAACCCCAAAAAAAACAGGGCCTGCCACACTTCTCAACTCAGTAAACATTAGCTATTACTATGAAATATAGTTTTACAATCAATAGTTTAGTATATAATAGTAAACTAATTTAATAATGTAACCAGTAAAAACATAATGACGAAAGAAACAGTTTTTTGTGAAGTTACAGTAACAACAACAAAAAAAACACTGCCTAGGAATAAATTTAACAAGAAAAGTGCAGGGCTTAGGTGAAGAACAATTTTAAAGATATGAATAAATAGAGAGACCCAGAGTGCTCTTGGATGAGAAGACTCAATACTGTAGAGATGTTCGTGCTCCTCCAAGTCAATCACTTCTTTGCAATCCTAATCAGGAGACCCACAGGACCCAGCTTGGCAGTGCCCCAAGGCATAACTTCCTAAAAACTAGCCCACACAGCAGCCCCCAACACGGTGAGGTGACACTTCTCACTGTGGGCTTGCCCTGCTTCCAGTGTGCCCTTCTATCACAGCCCTTGTCTGTTCATACTGGTTCCCTCAATTTTCTCCCCCCACTGGACTATGAACCCTCAAGGTCAAATTGAGTCTGTAGTACCTTAGTACCCGACAGTGGACTCATGCAAGACATAAGCAAAGGCCAGCCGGGTACGCAACTAAACTGCCCCATGGTACCAGGAGTGAGTGGCCCAAGAAGGAACTGCAGAGACACCTACTTTGGGTTTTGCAACTTCCTTGATCCTCTCGATTTCCTCGTCAGACATGACATCGTAGTACCTGACGATGTGTGGACTGTCCCACTCATCCTCCTCTTTGAAAGGGGCGATGAGCAGCTGTGGCGTCCCGTTGCCATGGTGGTACCTACAGAAAAGCCTCTTCTGCCTTCGGGGTGTCTGGGGAGCACAGAGCAACAAGCCCTGAACTGAGTGAGTCCTAACCCTCAGTCCCAGGCTAGCCGGCTGCAGACACTGGCCTCACACCCCATGTCCAGCAGCCACTCCCTCCCGCCTCACCAGAGAAGAAAACAAAAGCCCCTCAGTTTGACTGGCATGAAATGATACCCCACAAATCATGCAATGTTTCTTCCCTCCCAAGAATACCTCATGTTGACAAGTCCTGTAGCAGGGTGTAATCCCTGGCCCCTCTCACAGAGATGTGAGTAGGTCAGGAGGGCTAGGGCCAGGGAGAAGTCTTTCTAGACAGAGGAGCCAGTGGGAGCCAAGCAGACATGGGCATGGAGAAGACCGAGAGATTGTCTCACACCTGAGTCTCCTTGAGGAAGCACTGGGGTCCAAGGGCTCTCAAAGGCCAGTGATACCCCACACCAAATTCTAGCAACTGCCTGGTCTTTGCTAGAGATCATGACTTCAGTGGAGGCCCAAGGCACATCCACACTCATGGCTTTCTTCAGAATAGTGAGTCAAGTAGAAGCTGCCCTGTTGGGGTGGGGAGGGGAGCTCAGTAATAACTTAGGGGATTGAAACTCTGCCTAGGACATCAGGGAAGACAAGTCTCCTGTCCTATACCTCAGAGCACACCCACGTGTCAGCCTCAGCAGATGCTACCAAGAATTGAGAAAACTACCTACAGACAGAGGAACATCTTCCTCAGATCTGCCTGTCCAGAGCCAAAGTCTAGGTCCACAGCCTGGGTCCTGACCCATCCACGTGTCTCACCAGTTTGACACCCTCCCCACGACAGAGGCTCTCATAGATATCCCTCTCGGGCAGGTAGTCCACAGGCCTCTCATATATGCCTTCCTGGGGTGCTAGCTCAGCTTCTGTGTGATTCAGTAACATTTTTTCTCTTTCTTCCTCCAACAACCGTTCAAAGTAGCGCAGATTCCCTCCAGCTCGTTCATGGCTTGGGTCTAGAAAAAGCAAAGAAGAAGAAGCAAAAGGAAACCACAAACATCTGTTAGATCATTTAGAGAAATTATTCTGTAAGTGGTTTTCTCTCCCAGCAGCTCACTCGCACGCAGCATTCTGCCTTCTACAGCACCTAAGCACAGTTTGCTGGTCGTAGAGGAAAGGCCAACAGAGGTTCTCCCTACTCTGGTCAGAGATGAGAAATGAGCAACAAGAGCGGGGCGCAGGGGACGCTTAGCCACCAACGCGGCTCTCCTCCGGAATTCCCTGGAAGTCCCAAGGACACAGGTCCAGAGAAACAGGCCAGAGTTCAGCCTCCTCCTCCCCACTTGGCTGTGTGCTAGTTACAGCCGTCCCCTAGAGTACATCCACTACTGGTGACATCACATGCTGGCCACAGCTAGAAGGCAGGCTGAAACACCGGCGGCAAGAAGGGCCACATGACACTCCCACAGCTTTGTCCTGTGGGCCTCACAACAAGAAGGAGCAAGCTTGGCAGGATTACTGTGCTACCCCTCAGATGAGGAAACTGCGGCCCAAAGATGTTACAGATTAAGGTTAGGTTATTCAGAAGAGGAATCCAGGTGTCCTGACTCCCTGTACAAGGCTCTTACTAACACGACAGAGTCCAAAAAAGCTCTCTTCCTACATCCATCTTACAGACATTCACACTAGCTGGTCTCAGACCCAAAGCCCATGAAAAGGAGCAGTGAAAGGAAGTCTTTGCTGGTCTGTGAAATCTCAGACTATGATATCCCATATATGAGTAACAGGTGGAACAAATGGGTTCTTAAGACACAGTGCTTTTGATCCCCTTCAGTCTAACCCCACAGGACAACTGAAATCACCAAAGCCATGGCAAGTCCACCAGTTAGACCTCAGGGCTCTAACAGGTCAGGTCACTGTCACTGCAGCAACCCTGAAATACAGCTTGCCTCTCAAGCTATTCCTGACGCAGTATAGGCTCCACCCTACATAGCAGCAGATGCACTGAAGCACTGGATTCGTATTTAGAAATGGACTAGGAATCCATGTGTAGGGCCACGGGTGCCATAGGCCTGAGTGTATCCATCAGTGATTGGGCAAGGGCTAAGCCAGAACTACAGTGGGTAAAGAGCTAGCTGGCAGCTGGACTGCGCCTGAAAGCAGCAAAGCATTAGTCAGTGGCTAGGCGGCAGGTCAGACTGGCTCAGTTCCTGGAGAGCAGTCAGGTAGTGGCCAGCAGGGTGACCAGTTCCCCTGCTACCTCCCCCTCTGCATCTGACCTTCCCCTAGAACCTCCTTACCAAGGGAGAGCAGTCGGCGGGTGAGCTCCAGGGCACGGTGCAGGTCACCCAACTGGAAGACGGCATAGCTCAGATAGTCCAGCACCTGGGCCTTGGATGTGGTGGCCTCCTCCCCTGCATCGAGCTGCTTCAGCACCTGTTCCATCCACAGCACTGTGTGGTAATAGTCTCCTTCATTGTAGGCCGAGCGGCCCATCCCAAAGCAGTCGTCCACGCTCAGCACTGCCTGGTACTTGGTTCCTGCAGCAGGAGAGGCAAATAGTCAGGCTCAAAGAGCCTCTGGGTTAGGGAGAAAGATTCCCCCATTGAGGGAGCCCGGGTCCCTGGGTCGGGGGCATCAGCCCAGCAGAGCCCCACCAGAATTTCAGACCACACACCTCCAAGGGCCATTAGTACGGAAAGCACAGCCAGGCTGGCCCTGCCTCGGGCTGGGGTGCACAGCCTACCTCCTAACTTCAGACTCCCCAAATGGGAAGGGTCCTTTGTTACGGAAGAGCCAAGGAAGCCCAAGGAATAGTGTTCAGGAAAGTATAAAGGTCCTGTGAGCCACATGGCAGATGTCTATGAGGCAGCTGGCCATTTGAGACTGGAAGTCAGAAAAATAAGTTAAATATAAAAAAACAGAACTTAGGTGGCAGGTAAAGCCATGGATGAAGATAATCGCTTCCAGAAATAGTGTCAGGAAAGAGTAGAGAAGGTGGCTGAGGCCAGGGCCCCAGAGACCACCTATACAGAAAGGACAGAGTGAATAACACTGAGAAAGAAACAGAAGGAGCAGGAGTGATGTGACAGATGCCAAGGGAGAGCAAGAGATAAGACTGCAGTGCCAGCTTTGACCACTAGGTGGTGGGGCCCTTGGTGAAGATCAATTCAGCAGGTCCTGTGACTACAGGTCATCTGCTGTTGGCTCAGCGCTGGAACGTGACCATGAAGAGAGTTTCAAGTCAAAAAGGAGATGTGGTGTGTAAGCTATGGGGAGATACAGGGTTTAGGCTGTGACACTCCCTGGAAAGCAAGGGAGTTTCCCTACAACCCCATCAAGAGCAGCCTAGGCATGGCTGACATGGAAGAGTTGCCTCAAAGCAGCCTCTTGCTGCCTGATGTCCAGGATGAAACCCCTGATGCAATGTGTTGGCTGCTTCAGAGACCAAGCGTTGCTCGCCATGATGGCTCAGGAACAGACAATGTGGGACAGGAAAATGGGGAGAGTAAACACAAGACAGAGCTAGTAGGCAGACCACAGATTGGGGTGGGGAGGTCCTTGAGTCCCTGTTCACTCTCCACGTACCTCCACAGATCTCTGGCTCTGTAGGCCGAGGGACTGAACACTGATGGAGGCAGTATAACACAGCTGAGCGAGCTGGACAAAACAGGGTCTGTGTGGGCCTAACTATGGCACCCCACAACTGTGTGACTATGGACAAGTTACGTAGTCCCTCTGATTCTTAGTCCCTTATCTCTAAATAGAGATAATACCATCAGTTTTAGAGGACTTGCGCCAAGAATTCAACAAGACGACATATGAAAGTGTCTCCTATGATTCCCCAGAGTGGTAATAATCAGTAGCTATTATCAACATGTCTCACAGATACCAAGAATGTCAAGAATGGCTCCCAGACACTCAGCATCCTTCCCAGAAGCCAACTTGAAAGTCTGCTCCCTAGAGAGTGTTCCCTGGAGAATGCCAGCAGAGCTGAGGGCTGAAGGGCAATCACACGTGATGAAACCCAGCTGAAGCGGGTAATGGTATTCCTGCAGAGGTTGTGGGATGAACAAAGAAGCTGAGCAGTGGCAAAGCTTTAGTACAACAGACAAGGAAGCCAGGGAGATGGTGCCACACAGGACCACAAAAACCACACATTAAGAGGAATTTGGTTTAGCCCTAAAAGTTAAGCATTGTGATCAGGAACTCATGTAAAAAGATATGTGCTTAAGACCACATGGAGGATGATTTTAAGGACTGAGCTGGAGGTATACAATAAATTAGAATAATATTTCAATAATCCAGTTGAGAAAGAAGTGACCATGAGGCTGGAGTTAGGGCCTCCAAGTACAAAAGACATTGTAGGGAGGTAGAATCCAGAGCAGCCAGTGGATGGAGTGCTTTTTGCTGATGTAAGGAGGAAAGACAGTAGACAGTTCAAAAAGGGATGAGGATTTCAGTTTGGGACACGTGAATTTTAAGGAGTCCAAGGAACATCCAAGTAGAGATGTCCCACAGCCATTTGCCTGCACTGGTTGAAAGCTCAGAAGACAAGCCCTGACCGGGAACACAGATCTGGATGTCATCCATGTACAGGTGATACCTCAAGTGATGGAAATGGCTGGGCTCACTTGGAGAAGGTGCTTAGGGAGACACCAGGTAGGGGTGGCATCCTGGGGAACAACTCCCAGCCACCCCTCATTTCCCCTCCAGGATATGCACGGGTCTGTTAACTGAATGTAAAAGGTCAATGCCTGGCTCTCTCTTCCCACCAACCATTCTCACAGCTACAGGGTGAAAATATCCTGCAGGTGCCCCAAGTCACCTTCTCTCTCTGGCCTCATTGCCTGGCTTGGTCCAAAATCTGACTGAGTGAGGATTAAGGAGAAGTCTACACTCCTTCCTGTTGGCTCACTGGACTCCTCAGTACCAAGGCTCCAGGCCCTGACCAGCCGGCAACACAGTGCATCCCTCCCCCTCACCGTGATTCCCTCCACTGTGCCTCCTACAGGGTCCCCACGGGTGAGGTGGCATCCAAGGTCTAATGGAGTCTAACTGAATCCCTGGGTTTATTGGCCTTTAATAGCCCCCAAACCCCAACACGTCTTCTTATAAACATACTGAGGCAGACAACCGAATTGAAAAGGGGCCTATAAAAAAATGAGAGAGAGAGGAGCCAAAAGAGAAACAGCCAAGATCAGTGCCCCAGCATTCAAAGGAGGGGAGACTATCAGGAAGAATGGGGCAATCAGTGTGCCAAATGCTGCTGAAGAGCTAAAGAACATTCTGCCTGAAACCTGTCTACTGGCTTTACCAGCCAAGTGGCCACTGGTGACCTTGCAGGGGCAGGATTGGCCAATGGGGGGGAAAGATGCCAGACTTTGCGTGTTCAAGAGGACATAGGAACCAAGGAAGTAGAGAAAGAGTGTGGATGACTCTCCAGCTGCCTAGCCAGGAGGGAGAAGAAATCAGTCAGCAGCAGAGACTCAAAAGGACCTTGGATCCTGAGGGAGTGGTTTGTTAGATAAGCAAGAACAGAGCATGTGGAGAAGAGTCCAGAGAGGTGGACACAGAATGAACAGGGGCAGAGACTGTAACTGAGGGCACACAGGACATGGGGCAATGAATCCAGAGATCAGTCTTAGGCAAGATGAAATCGGAGGGTGGGGAATAGAAGTGGGTGCGGATGCAGACCTGAGTGGTGCCCTGGGGACAGAGACCAAGGAGGTCCTGAGCAGCAACCTCGGCATTCTCTGAGCTGAGAGAGGACAGGCCTGGGCTAATACCGGAGGGAGGTGGTGGGGCAGGGGCTGAGGGGAGACAGTTGTCATGGGAATAGAGGACTGACAGCAACTGGAAACCTAAGAAAGAACTACAGCCAGAGGTCGTGGTGAGCCTGAGCGTAGAGACCATGAGTCAGCAGTGGCTCCATCCTTGTCCATACACCACAGCAGACACACAGGCTGGACAGGCTTTGCATGGAGTGGTGAGTTACCTGGAAGCTCGCCTTTGGAAATTGTGTCTGGGTCCAGTTTGTATGTGTCCTGAAGTCTCATCAAGGCCTTGGCGGCTCCTGTTTCATCTTCATCAGTGGGAAAGAACTGTCGCTGCACTGACAGGTTGGCAATAAAGCCTTCCAAAGGAGAGAGTGAGAACAAAAGGTTACCCTGGTCCAGGGATAGAATTCCACCTGGAACCAGACAGGCACCCAGCGGAGGGTCTCTGGCTAGTGCAATCTCCCTGCCCCTTCCCTCAAAGGCTGTTTCCCCTTCCTCCAGGAAGTCCTCCTTGATGGCTCCAGTCCAGGGAGACCTCCCCTTTCTCACTCCTCACTGTACCAAGTGCCTGTGCTGCTCATTTGGAACTGAAGAGAAAGGCCCCCTAACACTAATTAACACATGGCAATCTGAGAGTCTTGGCGTGGAGATAGAAGGAAAAGAGGACAGTGAGGGTAACTGACAGGGACACAGGAAAGGACTCAGGGAGGACTTGCTGACCACTCAGTGGAAAACAAATCACATGGAAAACCTTGATCCAGGATTATTAGCCTGGCCAGGTAATCACAGATTCCTAGCCTACATCTCAGGTTGAACAGCCCAAGGGACAGAAGTGGTCAACTCAGAGAGCCCAGCTGGCCACTCATTACTGACCACTGGCCCTTATCATCCAGAAGGGTGATGATGACAGTCCTGGAGGTGTTTGGTGCTGTCCCCACGCCAAGATTAGGGACTGGAGAATCATCTGACCAAGGTCAGTATTAGGTGGGGCTGCATAAGCCCGGCGTGGTTCCCCTGAGAGACCACACTGGGCCTTGCTCTGCTTACTAGGGCACTCCTACCACTCAGACCCACAATGAGCTCAGGGCATGAGTTCCCCAACTGTGGTGCTCAAGACCACAGCCTGGAGCCTGGGAGAGGCCCTGAGCACAGAAGCACCCAAGGAAGCTGTTTGGGGACTCCAAGCCCTAGTTGTAAAGCAAGATATACACCTCCTGCAATCTCAGGACTCCAGGTGGAGGCCAGGCCCTCCCATGCTGATTCAGAGGCTTCAGTTGTGCTCATAAGCTGAGAATTAGTAGGGGAAGTCCAAGGCCATTTCTTCTCTGGCCTCTTCCCCAGAGCAGCAGGACCCATAGCCACCTACTCTCACGACCTCAGGCTCAAACACCCACTTCTAGCCCTGCCTGGGGACCCAGGGACCAAGATGCTGCAACCCTGTCTTCCTCACGGCTGCATGGTCAGGGACTCTATGAGTTTACAATCCAGGGGAAAAAAATGCTTCCAGAAAAAGCCACATTGTTAGCATGTCTCCCTGCCTCCCCCTCTCCCCATTTCAGGGGAAAGAACTCTGAAAGAAAGAGGTGAAAACAACGTATTGCTGTCTGGGGCTGTCCTGTCTCCCTCCGGGTAATTATAAGGTTTTCCAGAGGAACCAGATGTTGACGGTGGGGGATGGGTATGAAGAACAAGACTTGAGAACAGAAGATCATATGGGCAGGCTTATTCTCCCACACTGCAGGCAGGACAGCCAGTTCTGAGCTACAGGCTCAGGCTGGGAGGCAGGGTCTGGGAAAGGCAGCTGTGGCTTCTGGAGGCAGTGAGCTCACTGGGCACAGCTCCGCCCGGCTAAGCTCACCAATCCCTGCCCGGAGGCCACCCTGCTCCCAGCCAAGTCCAGCCCAGTCTGGCCATAAGGGCTAAAACGCCTCAGCCCCCAAGAGACAACGATGAGTCTGAAGTTAATCAGCACTTCCAACTCAGGGAGAAGAGACAGTGAGTCCAGGGGGGCTGGGCTCAAGGCTGGAATTAGAAGGGCCCACCTCCAGGCCTGCCCCACCATCTCCTGCTAAGAGGAAAATATCAGAGCATAGAAAGTACTACCATAGTAAAAGACTAAGCACAGTTAAAGCTTTAAATAAGTTCATACTCTAACCTGCAAATCCCACTTATAGGAATTTATCATGAGAAAATAATCAGAGATGGGCATAAAGATATGTGTAAGATTGCTGATAATCTGGAAACAATTCCACATCCACTGACTTGACCAGTTTTACACTACACCAGTATGACATATTACTGTCCAGCCGTTAAAACCATGTTGCAGAAGGACATTTAAAGGACATATAGAGAAGCTGAAAAATTCAGGAAAACAGTATATGCTTATGTCACAAATCTGCCAACAGATAATGTTTTCTTTCTAAAAGATATGAATGGTGGGCTTCCCTGGTGGCGCAGTGGTTGAGAGTCTGCCTGTCGATGCAGGGGACACGGGTTCGTGCCCTGGTCCGGGAAGATCCCACATGCTGCGGAGCGGCTGGGCCCGTGAGCCATGGCCACTGAGCCTGCGCGTCCAGAGCCTGTGCTCCGCAGTGGGAGAGGCCACAACAGTGAGAGGCTCGTGTACCGCAAAAAAAAAAAAAAAAGAAAAGAAAAGAAATAAAAGATATGAATGGGAATGAATTTAGGTGAGGCCCATGCTCCCCAGCTTGCATTGGTCCCACCACTTAGCCCACTTACCTTACTTTTGTTAATTCATTTGGTCCCTCGAAGCAAATAAGTTTGCATTCCACGATATATACGTATGATTCCATTTTTTTAAATGTATATACATGTGTAAAAAGACTAGAATTTTAACAGTGATTATCACTAGGCAATTGGATTAAGAACTGTAATTTTCTTATATGATTGTTTTTGTTTTCCAACGTTTCTATAAATATGTATTACTAAAGCGTAATTAGAAAAAAGTCACTACCAAAAAAAAAAGGGACCCAAAAACACTAGGAAAAGGCAAGAACTGATTTTTTTTTTTTTTTTTTTTTTTTGACCACGTAGCACAGCATGAAAGATCTTAGCTCCCGACCAGGGATCAAACCCATGCCCCCTGCAGTGGAAGCTCGGAGTCCTAACCACTGGACCACTAGGGAATCCCGAAGAACTGATTATTATAACATATTAAAAGCAAGGACAGACAACTGCCAGGTCCCCACAGAGATGACAGCCACTGGACTGGCAGGCTGCATGTTCACACACTGCACGTGCACACCCCGACCCAGGACAGTTTCAGACCCACACCCCCCAGGTGTCAGCACACAGACATACTGGCTCACCCAACCACCTGCTCACTGTCCCTCACCTGCAGCTGAGTTCTGCAGGACAAGGTCCTCCAGCGCAGGCCAGTCTGTGTTTAGTCGCTTCACCAGTTTATAGGCATTCACAGGGTGGGACAGGTAGCCTTCAGGGTCAGCAGCTGACTTGCTGGTCAGGGCTTCCATTTTGTTGGCCCAGCTGTGGAACCAGAGAAAAAGGAAGGTTAACACACGGATCTTGACCTATGGTAATTTTCCTGGTAAGATTCAGGGGGTCTCTATTTAAAAAGGAAAAAGCAGTGAGTCCTTAGCCCACATACTTAGCTACTCTGGGAGACTGGCATGAAGTAACCTCCAGGCCAGCCCCACATTGCCTCCTCAAGGGCTTCCTCTTATGGGCACCCAGGATGGGTTCTGGGGGTGGGGGGTGGGGCAGGGGAGGAGGGCTGGCTCAGGGTGGGTGTGGGGATTTAGGACATTAGACACCTCTTAATCTTAGAGAGCTTGGCTTCCTCCACCAAGATGTACTCCTTCAGGGACAGCACCAGGTCCTTCTCTGCATAAATCAGGTCTGTCATGTGCCCTGCAAGGGAGAGAAAAAAGGGCCAGTAAGAAATGGATGAGGGACATCCAGCTCCCAAACTTGAGGCACAAAACGTCAGCACAGAGGCCAGCCCCCTGGGCCAAGGGCATATCAACTCTCTTGGGATCATGGGGACCTAGAGTTAAAGGAGGCCTAGACATTCGTATGGTCCTGGACCCCCACTTCAGGAAGAGAGAGGCAGAGGCTCCAAGGGAATGTTAAGTGCACTGAGGACACCTTAAGGAAGAAACCCCAAATCTCATTCTCCCACTGCCACCCAGTTGGGTCATGTTATGGGACACAGACATCCTGGGGGCTTCTCTGCTCAGAACTACTCTCTAGTCCAGGAGAAAGTTGGTCAGAAATGCCAGGCAGCCCAGGAGCAGCCTGCACTACCCAGGGTGGAGGCTCAGCTGAGACAGCTGGCTCCCAGGAAGGACATCCAGGTCATCAGGGCTCAGAGGGGGAAACAGCAGCTCTCCCCAGATCTGGTCAAAACCAGTGGATGAGGCCATCCCACCCTGAATGAGAACAGGCCTCAGGCAGTGACATCCCCTGGCACATGAGCCAAGGATTGCTCAGGTAGACAACAGTCCTGTTGGCACATACCAATAGAAGTAAAGAATTCAGCCTGCACACAGCCCAGGACACCAAACCAGGCCACCAGCAACATGGATACCCAGAGTTTCATGGTCACAGAGGGCAGTGTCTGCAAGGCATTCAGTGATAGTAGTCATTAGATCAACAATGGTAAAAAGCAACTTAAGTAAGGATACACATACACATGTGCACATATATACACACATTCAAACATGCCAAAATCCTGACCTAACACACAGAAGCCAGGGAAAATATTCAGGACCACCAGTGGAAAGATGCCAGGGTATAGAACCAGAGATGTATGCTTAATTCTGTCCCCTGCTCTGGGAGGCCAAGTGCCCTTGGGAGAGACTCTGCCTTTCGACTTCTGGTAACCACTGACAACACGGGAAGGCTGAATGGAGGTGGAGGCCATGGACGACAGTCACCTCTGGGTCTAATAGTCTGTCAGTTCAAGATTCTGGCCCAGACTTCTTCTCTGTTTCTGTCTTTCCTTCCAACACAGGTGTGAGGACAGTGCCAGGTGCTGAGGACCCAGATGTAACACACAGTCCCTGCCCACAAGAAGACAAAGTACAGGAGAGACAATGACAGAAAGAGAACTTGACACAATATGCCTCAGGGGACCCACACCCAAAATAAGGTGCACAGCAGATGGTGAGCCCGAAGAGAAATCAGACTGCTCCCTGCTGGTCTGCACCTGGCCACAGTTAGAGCAGACACTGCTCTTCCTGCAGTGAGCTCCTTGGAAGACACTGTCCTCATGGAGAATCACCATTCGCAAATATTTACTAAAGACCCACTTATGCCAGGCACTGAGCTACGCACTCGGGATACAAAAATGAATCGGCCACACAGGGCCAAAACCTTAGGCCAGGCTGGGTTGCTGACATGAGTAAGAGGCCAGCTGCTGTCTTCTCATCAGCCTAGAAATAGCGAGACCCAGCTCTGAAGGCAGCAGGCACACCATGGGGCAAGCCCCACTGGCCGTGGACCCAAGTACACAATGGAGACTTTGGACATTATCTCCAAGCTCAGCCATGCAGCCTGGAGCACGCTGAAGGAACAGCACCCACGTAAGCCCCAGTTCTGTCAGTCCCTCCTCTTCCTGCTTTACTTCAGCCAAGCCCCACTGGAAATTTACTGAGAGAAAACAAGGACTATAAAGGAAATACAAATGCTTTCTCTCCAAAATGTAAGCCTTATCTCACAGAATTCTAAGTCTGAGCTAACGCCAGCTCAGCAGTTTTATGCCTGCGATGATTAGATGCACAGTCACGCCCACCATTCCTCACCTCACCCTTTCAGAAGAAATTCCAATCCACTGTGGTTCCAGATTAGGCTCAGAGAAGCCCAACCACGACCCCCACCCTCAAACGGGTTCCTATATGAGGAAGAGGAGAGAATAAGTGAGTGTCCCCATTTGTTCATCCCTTGCCAAATGTCTGCAGAGCTGACATCATGCCCATCAATACCCTAGGTGTCAGGGGCCCAGAGCTACACAGAACAAGATCCTTCAGCCCACAACCTACTGCAGGGTAGGGAGTATGGGCTAAGGGATCCATTATAAAGTTAGGGCAGCAGATGAAAGCAAGTCACCGAGAAGAGGTGAGACGGCCCAGCCTAGCCCCAAGGTAAAGCCCAGATCCCCCTTTTGCCAGCCACAGATCTGCTCCCAGGTCTCAGCATACCACATCTCCACCCTGGGATTCCAGAAGGCCTCTCTTCTTGCTTACATAAGACCCATTCACAGGGTTAGGGTCTGCTCCTTGTACTTCAAGAGGCTTCATCAGCTCAGAAAGAACACCTTCTGTATGTGTGTAGGGAGGGAACAGTAAAAACCCAGAGCCAGGAGGCTGTATCTGTGGACAATGAGGCATCAGCCAACTACCCATCAGGCTGGGGTGATGGGAGAGCAGTGCCCAGGCAGGAGACCAGACCAAACACGGTTGGAAGTTGGGGGGCACCAGCGTTTGTCCCCTGTTCCGTCACCAGTTGCAGCGGCATGCCCATTCAGAGATCAGGTAACAAATTTAAGGGAGGGAGAAGACTCTCTGTTCCTTTCAAGTCACCCTGGTGATACTGCCCATGGTTCATGCCTTACAGCACTCAGGAAAAAGCAGCCAAGTTCCTTCATTACATGAATACCAGCTGTCATTTCTCTGGAATGTGCTATCTGGCTTAGACTGAGCCTATCGACGAATCCCAGCCTGGAGGCAGAGCCCAAAGAATCACAGATGGGATTCTGGGCTGACCAAGAGCCTACGAAGTCCTGCTCTGATGGAGGAGGGGGATGACAACCCTGCTGGTCCAGAGAGCTAGGTGCTCCCACGCAGCCCCCAGACCACCACAATCAACACTGCCACCCCAGGCAAAGGTACACTAGAGTCCCAGCCTATCTCTCCTGATCCTGAGCCCCCGACCACTAATTTGTATTAGGTGTACAAAAGGCCATCTAATCAGGGTCAGGCTGGGAGGAGGCAGTCTCCAAGAAAGACTGTGTGCCACAGAATGGGAAAAGCCAACCACCTACATGCCCCCCATCCCATCTCATACCTATACCCAGAGCTTGCTTATGACAGAATAAGTGGGAGCATGTATGCCTGCCCAGTGCCCCCACCAGTGTCCAGTGCTGTCAAAAGCCCTCCAGGAACCCTCAGAAATCCATGCTGAATAGGCCTAGAAATGGACAACATTGAGGCCCCTTTTATGAAAATAAAGTATCACCAAGTCTGAACAGAAAACCAATACTGAGTTTTTTCTGAGCTGCATCCCAAGTTCAGAACAAAGTCTGGCCCAACAACAACAGCAAAAAAAAAAAAACCCTCACCACAGACTTGTTCATTCCAGGAAACTGTAACAACAGAAGATGTTACATTTCTTCCAAACAGTGGATTGTTATGGATTGTGTAAAAATGGACACTGTGGGCACATTAACATTGAGAGAAGATCAAAGCATCCCGTTAAGTGAGAAAAGCAGGCTCCCAAACAAGATATACTCTGTGATTTCATTTTTATAAGGAAAAATGTTTATATATGGAAATTTACATACCTGCATATATATGCAAGCGGAGAGTCAGAAATCTAGTTGTATATTGGTGAAATCATTTTATTTTTCTCTTTATGTTTACTTTATTTCCTAATCTTTCCACAAGGAGTTCTATGGGAAATTTAAAATATATTTCATATTTAAAATGAAAAGAAAACAAAGCAGGCCCTCTCAAACGGACTCCAAAGCGGCCCAGCAGCCTGAGTTTGGACCCCCACAGGGAGGTCCTCCAAAGCCTGCCAACACCCCAGTGACAATAAATCACCCACCAGGCGACCGACACTATTTCTAAGCACAGGACAATTCCAAGACATACAATCACAGGCCTTAGCACGCCCGCTCTTTGGAAAGGACGTTTACAACCTGGCCAAATAACCATGAAAAGATGTTTCCAACTGCAAACCAGCAGTGTCCTTAGCTTCTCCCCTTACCTCATCAGGCAGGAACTTCTGCCAAGCTCCCAGCTGCAACCCAAATGCAACAGCTTGAGTTTTAACAATGTATTTGTCTGGCTTAGCTCTGAACAAGAGGCTGCCTGCCTTCTGTGAAGGGGCAAAATGAGCCTGAACAGGGCTCCCCGCAGCGGTCTTACCTCCCAGTAGTGTGGCCAACTCTGAATGGCAGAGCCAAGAGGACCTGCGTGCTCAACCTAGGAAGAGTTCAACAGAGGCTCCAGGAGGCCCTACCTACCTATGCACATGGCTGTCCATTTGGGCCCATAAGCTGCTCTCACTGGCACCTCAGGGAAGCATGGGCGGCACCCTACTCTCCCTACCTGATGTCATGCCTCAATCATCACCCTGATTTGAGCCACCCCTACGTCCCTCTTGCAGCTACACTGGCCCCTACCTGCACTGGTCTCTCATCTAACGTGGCCTCCCTCCCACCTCTGCTCTACAAAATAGCCATCACAGGTTACTACAGCTCCTCATTTGGTCTCTTTCTCCCTAAGAACCCTCCAAAGGCTCTCCACTACTCTCAGGACAAAGTCCAAATTACTTAGCCCTAAGGGACTTTTTGACTCTGCGTGACCTGGCCCTACTGCCCTCTCCAGCCCCATCTCATGACTCCAGGTTTCATACCTTCAACTACCACATCACATGAAAAACATTCTCCTTCACTGAGAACCTAACAAAGCCTAGATGTGCATGCATACCTATCCTTATGCAGTTGTCCCTCAGTATCCACAAGGGATTGGTTCCAGGAGGCCCCGCAGATACCAACATCCACAGATGCTCAAGTCCCTTATATAATAGGTGTAGTACAGCCAGCCTTCCGTATCCACAGGTTTTGCATCTGCGGATATGGAGGGCTGACCGTAATTTCTCTATCCAGTACCTGGACATGTTGACTTGTACTTCCCACGTGGGTACCATCAAAACTCCAAAGTCTCCTGCTTCAGTAACTAGACAATTAAGTAGCAGAAAAGGCTGTATAAACCAACATGCAAAAGCCAGTTGGGTTTTCAATCAGTCTTGGCAAAGACTTGGCAGTCCAGGTAAGACTACCTTATAAGGAACTACAGGAAAGAATAAAATCCACACACCACTATACTGGATGCATCTGATATACCACCTTGTACTCTCCTGGCCTCACCTGCCTTCTGGGCCCTGGGCCACTTGCTCTGCCTCAGACCCAGTGAAGGAGACTGTGCAGTCCCCAAATCTCTGACTCTCCCTGCTACTTCCAGACTCCAGCGAAGCACCACGCTGACCTCCCCAGGGGCCCTGGGAGTGCAACTGAGGAGTGAGCATGGGGGAATTAACTCCTCCTGGGGCAACTGTGACTAATAAAGGACAGAAACAAGAGGACGTCAGCAGATAAATTCCCTCTCCAGGCCTTCACTGAGAAACTGTTCTGCAGCACGGGGCTTCTGAAGAGTTCACCCAGAGATGTCCTTCATGGCTGAGCAACTAGTGTATCTCTGTGCAGACTGGCCAGCTTGCTAATGCACCACCTTGTATATGCTTCGCCTCCTTCTCGACCTCACTTTTATTTTCCCTTACCCTTGCTACTCCACAACCGTACCTTCTAACAAAGCGTTAAGTACTTAAGCTCTGCCTTGGGCTCTGTTTTCTAGGCTAAGATAACCACTATTCATGTTTCCAAAAATCTTTCACTTCTACCATCTAATCCTCACCAACACCTTGTAAACTAGATAATCATCTCCATTTCAGATATAGATATATAAGATACATAACTGAGACTGAGAGTTTCCTGCACACCTCACATGCTACAGGAAATTAATGGCAGAGCCCAGGCTCAAATCCAAAACATACTTTCTACTATATATTGCTGCCTTCAATCCTACTCAGTAACATCTGTTGTCTTATAGCACAAGGACTTCCCAAAAGGAGGAGCCACACTTTGGCCTAGCAGAACAGGCCTGCCCAGGTCAAGGACTTTATTGTGGTTCACAAAGCAGCCTCATGACGTCCGTGGCTGGATCCCACCAGACGGCAGACAGCAACATGGACCCAGAAGACAAAAACATGGTGCTTCAAGTCCAAGTGAGCAGTCACTCCTGCCCAGACACCACAGCACTCACAAATGACCGAATGGCCCAGATCAGGGCAAGACAGTACAGTCTAGTAGGGAGGCACACCCACCCTGGGGTCAGAGACCCCCAGAATTAAAGCTTAGCTCCATAATCACTTCCAGGCTTTGGGGACTTAGACAAGTTACAGGGTCTCTTTGAGCCTCAGTTTTCCCATCTATTTAACAGTTAAAATAATAGAATCTGCATATCATAGGGCTGTTTTCAAGATTGAATAAGATGACAGATGTCAGTGGGCAGCCTAGCACCAGGCACAACTTATACCAGTCAAGAGCACCAAGGGTACTAGAGGAACGGCAATAGACCTGAAGCAGCCAGCTTCCTAGCTGATCCCTGGAGAGAAAGGAGGTCCAGTCTAGGGGACAATGAAGATGAAAACAAGACAGAAATTGAATCTCTTAACACTCCATGTCCCAGGAGTGTTAAGAGATTCAGCAGAGGGTGGAGTCAGGCGTAATGCAACATATTGACCATCAGGGAATAACTCTGAAAACTGGTCTATCACTGGCTCTAACTCTCAGCAAGGAAGGAAAGTTCTCTGGCAAAAACAGGTGACTGGACCAATACTCTAGAATCTCACGTATTTCTACGTCTCTGACCTGCTCACTCCGAGTTCCTACAAGTACCAGGCCTCAGGATCGCGGCCACACCCTGGGCCCTCAGGAATGCCGGGTACAGAGCAGGCTATGTTTTAGCAAGCACTTCATGAAAGGTCTAGAGCAGATGCTGGTCTGTGATCAGGCTCACATCCTATTTGAGCTGGGGAACTCACTACCCAAACATTTAATCCTCTGCCCTGCAATGACACCACTTGAACAAACACTCTCTCCTAGGTCTCCAAGACCTAGGTCTCCTCGGTCTCTAATCCAGACTTTTCATGCTCCTCTGCTCCTTCTGAGAATAAAAACTATATCCCTCATTCCACATTTCCAGCTCTAACCCCAGAGACCACAGGAGCCACCAGCCCTCTCTGCTCAAGAACAGACTGATGTCCCATCCTGGTGCCCTTCAAAAGTTCAAACTGCTAGATTTGAGCAACGTTTTCAAAGCTTAACTCTCACTCCAGCACCCTGTCTGGGCTTGCACGTGCCTGCATCACAGCATCTCCTGCCAACTTCCATCTGCATAGAATTAAACTCTTGAGAGATCCCAGGAGCCAGGGACACACCGGCCAGCCCAATGCACACTACAGCCAGCGTGGCCACACACTGGCCAAGGTCTTCCATCCAGTCTCAGACCCTCCCAAGGATGTGGGAGGGCAGAGTCAAAAAGGGAGGTTCTCTCAGGAAATGAGCAGACCCCCGATTCTCTCACTCCACTCATTCCTCAGGGCTGTACCCATGCGGTCTCCCCTTCTCACGAGCACTCACACTCTGAGCTCCTCCCTGGCACATGACCACCTGCCAGCGTGAAACAGCAATCTCAGAGAGACTGTGAGCCACCCATGGGCAAGGACAGTGCCACCGCCACTGCTTCCTTTCCCTCCTCCCTCATTCCAGCCCCAGGTACACTTTAAGCAGAAGCCCAGCACACAGGAGGTACTCCAGGAATGAACAGAGATTGGCTGTGGCCAGGCTAAACCAGTGACAAAGTAGGCACTCTCCTGGGCACACCCATTTCAGAGCATTGGACAGGGTAGAAGGGCCTATCACAAGCCACAGACAATACTCAGTCGCCACCATGTCTGCCTGCTGACCTCTCAGAGCACTAGGGTGGCCCACTATGACAGCATCTCTGGGATGAGGCCCCCAGCCAACACACTCCAACTCTGCTACGTGGCTTCCTTGGCTGGGCCACACAGCGCGTGGGCTTGGCCGTCTACAAATGATACCCAAGGATAAAAGGATTCAAAGCCCAAACGTTTTATAAGTAGGGAGAACTGAACAGAGAGGCTGGCCCTTGAGGCCCAGAATAAAATGAGAGACTGCACCCTGGAAGCTTCAGGGGCTGTTTAAGCACAAGCCAAAGGAAACCATGGTTCATTTAACGGAGAACTAAATCATGGAACCTGCTATCCCAGATGTGATACGGGCAGCAGCTTGCAAAACCATTCTATAAATTCTTAGGTGGACAGTGGATCTCTGCAAAATCAGGGACATTTGAGAATGCCCTAAGCTACAACGCAATGTTCCCCAACTCCTGCTCTCAGGGCCAGGATCTCTTGCAAAAGCACTGAGGTTGCTAAGCTTCAGATGGTTTACATCAAGCAGCACAAGCCTTAGGTGTCACTCTACAGCAGAAGACACCAGTCTCAGCCTTGGGAGGGGCTCTGATGTTCTTCTACACCACCTTAAAGGTGTCAGATTAGAAAACAGAGGCCAGGGGCCTCTGCCCTGAAGAAGGAGGGTTTATGCTGATCCATGTTTATGGTGCAAGGGTTCACTGAGCATCCTCCACATACAGGGCACGATACCAGGCACTGTCCTCTCACTTGAAGCTCTTTGGACAGGGTCCATGGGCAGCTATTCCCTAAAGTGTCCCTTCCCCCATCACCTTGCTTCCACTAGAGTGCCCAGGTCTGCTTCCACTCACACACGCTGTTCCTCTGTCCGGCTTACCCTTTCTTCTGCCTTCATCTGACCACTCCAGCTCATGGGTCACCTCCTCCAGGAAGCCCTCTGGCTTGAAGCATCCTGTCCTCTACCAAGTACCCACAGTCCGGTGCTCCTTCCCAGCACAGCACTCACCACACTGCCCGGGGCCTGGCCTTTCCTGGTCTTCCAGTCTGCCTGCCCCACTGGGCTAGCAACTCCTCGCAGTTTCTGATACGCAGAAGGGTCCGTTTGTTGAATTAATTAACTAGTTACAAGTCTCCGCGCCTGCTGAGGCAAAACCATGCAGGTTAGAAAAGGATGTCTGGAGGGGGGGAAAAGGAAAACAAAAACAAAACTTTCTCATCCAACAGCCTGTCTCAATGGGCAGCAAGCGGGGCCATGGCCGCAGACTCCCAGCCCTTTGGAGGCAGGATGGTGGACCTCCCTAATACTAAGCGGCCCCTCAGGGCCTGCCCGGCGCCCCTGCCTCCGCCTCCAACCTCTGGCAGCCTTCGGGCCAGGCCGCCCCTTCCCGGGAGCCTGACAGGCGGGGCGGCCACGCTGCCCGCCAGGTCCGGCCGCCCCGAGGGGACTGGAAGGAAGGGTGCGGCTGACCTCACCACCCTGAGCTCGGCGAGGCGACGCGGCGGCGGGACAGGAACCCACACGGGTGTAGAAACAGAGCGGAGGTCGCGGGGCTGCGGCCCGGACGGCGCGACGCCCGGTCCCCAGCTCCCAGCCCCGCGCGGGCAGAAGGCTCGAACCGGCGACCCCGGCCCGCGCCCGAGCTCCGCTGCGGACCCAGGGGGCGGGCGCGCGGGACGCTCACCCGGACACGCGCTGCTCCCGGCTTTTCCAGAACCTCCCGCGGCGGCACCCAGCTCGCTCGGGCCCTCCTCCCTCGGCGGCTCCACCTCCCGCCGTCGCCGGGCTCCGCCCGCTTGACCGGCAGCCACGTCCCCACCTCCCGCCCCGCCCCCCGCTCCCCCGCCCCCGGCCCCTGGCTCCGCGCCCAGACAGCCTCGGCCAGGGGTCACCACCGCAGACAGCGACCCCCGGGAAGGCCGAGGCCGCCCGGCCGCGCGGAAGCCGGGAGCGGGCCTGGGGCCGCCGCTCGCGCCCTTCATGCCGCCCGCCGCTCGCCGCACGTACACGGCGCCCGCCTCTCCTTGGCGCTCGCACCTGTGGGACTCGGCCCGCCCTCCTCCCTGGCCCTTGGGCGGCTGGAGAGGGGCCCACGACCCGATCCTGAAGCCGGTGCTGTCGGGGGGGGGGAACCCTGATTGCTGGCCAGCTACCCTGGCCCCAGCTCATGCCCATTTCCTCGGTGGTCCTGCTGTATACACGACTCCTACTGCTGCCTCCCCATCATCACCACCATCAGGTTACAGGGGGTGGGGTCACCCGGGCCAGGAGCTGGATTCTCAGGGATGGGGACAGTGGAGAAGGACCTTAAGAAGACTGGAGACCTGGCATCCACCCCCAGGGCCAAGCTCCCAAAAGGATTCAGACTGTCCCCAGCTCCTGGATCCGACACTCCTCCTGGGGGCGTGGGGGGGGGAAGGGGGGGCACCCTGGATCTAACCTTCGTTTTCCCCAAGCCCTTACATACAACATGGGCCAAAAACAGTAGACACTTCTTTCAGCCAATCCAGGCTGGGAGGGAGTGAAGGCAGGGATGCTGCAAATCTCAACCTGGGCTAGAGGAATCCCTGGCCGCCAAGCAGGTTCCCACGCCTGCTCTGTGAACCTTCCTAGTCATGAATGAGGGGAAACAGTGTCTGAGAATCTCATCAGAGAGCTAGGCCAGAATGGGAGGTGCTCAGCCTCTGCCCAGTCCAGTGTGGGGATATTCCCTATGGCACACCATCCAGGCTGGCAGCCCAGACCTGGGGAAGGCATGAACACGCAGAAAAATACACACAAGACACATAAAACACAGAATGAGCCACTGTTCTGCCCTTCCTCAGCCACCAGCTGACCTCCCCAGAGCTCAACTAAAACCAGACAGAAATCTTCCTGCCTCTGCTACATCCTGTTGTGCCGCAGGAGTCTCTCTCAGTGTGCTCAGGTTCTCCCATCCTCTCCCCCTTCTCAGGAGCTTGCCCTGTGAATCATCCCTTCTCTCACTTGAATGTTCAACCTCCTCTCCTCAAATGGATACATCCCTTGACCTGTAAATATTTTCAGGTCTCTAGTATGGAAACAAAACCCTCATTAGACCCCACCAACTATTGCAGTGCCTCTCTCCTTCTCAACCACAGCAAAATTCCCCGAAAGAGCAGTCTGTCCTCACTTTGCTCCCACCCCTCAGAACCCTGCAGTGGGCCTTCTGGCCTCCCGACAAGACCAAACCAGATCTCAACAAACTCTCTATAACCTCCAAGTCTAAATTCAACAGCCACTCTTCAGTCCTCATCTGCCAAAGCCCCCAGCAGCACCTGACACCCCAGCAGTGTTTGGCCACTGTCTCCCTTGAACACTTTTTTCCCTCGGTTGCCACTAACCTCTCTGGCCACCTCTGCCCAGGCATCTTCGCCCCCAGCTCACCCGCCTTTCCCTCTCTCCCCATTAGTCGATAAAGGTTGGGGGTTCCTCAGAGTTCAGGCCTAGGCACTCTACTTTCCTCTCCTCTTTCTATAATTTCTTCCTATACAAAGATGACACAAATTTCTCTCTCTACCCTTGCCCTGACTCCTGAGCTCCAGACGCGTATGAATGGCTGCTGAGTCTACGCCTCCGCTGAGTGTCCACAGGCACCTCAATCACAACGTGCCCAGCACTGAGTTCATGCTCTCTCCCCTTCCCCCACCCCCATACCTCTCATATTCCCTGCTTCACTGAGGGAGCCACCCGGCCCCCTGCACCACCACCAGTTACCTAACTAGAAGCCTGGGAATCACCCTCAGCACTTCCCTCTGCCCCGCCCCCAAACCCTGTCCTTCCATATCCCACGTCCATTCAATTCTACCACCTAAATCCCTCTCTAATTCATTCATTTCTCTCCATCCTCTTTCACTTGAATGATTGCAACAGTTTCCCGGCTGACTGTCCCCCTCCATTCTTACTTCCTCCCGTCTCTCTTCCACACGGCAACCACAGTGACCTCCTCAGAATGCAGATCTGAACCCATCACTCTCAGCTTCGAAATTGCATTGTTCTTAGGAAAAGTCCTGAAAGTGGCCTATAAGGCCCGGCATGGTTTGGTCCCTGCTCACTCCTCTAGCCACACTGACATTCCTCTCCAGTCCCTCTAACTGGTCATTCTCCCTCCCCATTCCACTCCCAGGCCTTTTCACATGCTGTTCTTTCTGTCTAGGAAAATGTCCCTCCTCCCCAACTAAATCCTTCAGGTCCTCCCAGAGGGAATTTCCTCACTTCCCCGGCCAGGTCAAAATCTCCTATAACAGCCTCTCATGTCCTACATGCTTCCTAACACTTGCCACAGTTGAATGTTTGTTTGATTCATGTCTGCCCCCCTCCCCACACACACACCACTGGCCTGGGTATACGTAAACAATGTGTGTTTTGTCCATCATGACATCCTCAGCAACTACGACAGAACTGGACTCAATAAATATTTCATGATTATATGAAGGGATGGGTGTCTCCTTAATGCCTTGCTCCACAAAACCACAGCCAAAGTTCTGACTAAAGCCTCCACAGGGCCTCAGAGTCCTGGACCCCACTCATTCCTCAGTGTCTGCTTCTATTCCTCTTCTGTCTCTTATAAGGGTACTTATTGGACTTAGGACTCACCTGGGTAATCAGGATGATCTCACCTCATGATCCTTAAATTACATCTGCAAAATTCCTCTTTCTAAATAAGGTCACATCCACAGTGTCCAGGTATTAGGACATGGACATATCTTTTCAGGGCCACAATTCAACCTACTATACTTGACATGCCCTCATGCCCTCCAGGGGCTCCTGGGCCCCTTATAAATCCTTGGCTCTTAGTTCTCCAGCCCAGGCCCACTCCAGACCCACATAGCATTTTCTTTGAGGCCACTTGATGGGTGAACTCATTATCTCCCCACACTCTACCTCACACCGCCCACACTTCCTTCCACCCCAGCATTTCCCATATCTCAGGAAGCAGAATCAACATCTCCTGGTCATTTCCATTTTCTTCCCCATCACATTCCCCCATTGTAGATCTTACCTAGTAGATCACTCAATCCATTTACTGCTCTCCATTCCTGTAGCCACAGCTCAAATTCAGGACACCACCATCTCTTACCTGGACGGTCCATCCTGGCCCACAGCTTTCACTCAGCTCCTTCCATCCTTATTTCACACCACAAGCAGAGTGATATTTTAACAGTGTGATTCTGATCATGTCATTTCCATACATAGAACCTCTCAAAGGTGTCCCTGCCACAAGGATAGACACAGATCTCACCAAGGCTGCCAATCCCCTTTATACAGCCCTGATGGCCTCTCTTATCATGTGTAGCCTCAAACTTGATGCTCCAGCACCTGAGGCATTTTTCAGTTCCCTGACCTTTGACTGTGTCATTCTTCCTGTCTGGAACACTCCAAAAGGTTTTCCCTTTAGACCAAGCCTAAGCCAGGTCCCTGCATAGACCCCATAGCTCCTCGTGGATGAATTTCATGCAGGCTATCTGACTCTCATGTCTACTTCCTTCACCACTTTGCCTTCCTAGGAATGGGGGCTGCTTCTGTCCTGTTTACCACTATGTCTCCAGCTCAAGCATAGGGTCTGGAATCCAGGACCTAGAGAGGGAGTGGGGAAGAAACATACATGAATAAATGAATGAATGAATAAATGAATGAATGAACATCCTCCACTAATGTGGCCTCCAGCAGGCCTCACTAAGCACACCCATTTTGGGTCACTTAATAAATCAACAGCCATCTTGAGCAGCCATGTCACACTCCTTTCCCCCAAATCTACTGTGTAAATAAAGTCACACCTCCCTTCTGGTAATGGCTCTACCCTATTCATTCATGCATTCATTCCACAAACATTTGCTGGGCACCAGTTGAGGCCCTGGCTGGGGATTCAGGGACCATGAAGATCAAAGGGCTCTGTCTAGTGGGGAAAACTGGCAGGTGAACAGAGACCCACAAAGCAAACTTACCCAGGGAGGGAAATGCCCAGCCATTTCCAACTGGTGACAGAAGGTGCTACCTGCCTAGTCCCAGTCTTAGAGACCCTTCCCAGGCTCAAGATCAGGTATGCACTGCCACCACTGACCCCAGCCTGGCCAGAAGCATTGCCAAATGAAGCCCTAGCCCCACGCTGTCCCTAAGTGACAGCCGTGGCCAATGGCTCCTCAAAGCAGGCTAGACTTGTCTGCCCACCACCCTCATTCCAGGAGAAGAACCTGGTATCTCTGCAGAAAAGGATGGCAAAAATATCTGTGCTAGATGGACAGGTAACTGGATGAATGGGAGGGCAGGTGTGGTGCAGGCTTTCCCTCTAAACAGAGGCATCCTCAGCTTGCCCTGCTCCTGCCTTCGTCCACTCACCTGTGATCCCTGCCCTGGAGAAGAGGAAGGGACAGCTTCCACACTGCCTGACACTGAGGCCTCCTTGACTGCTGATGGCACTTTCAGGGCCTGGCAACTACCACAGCATGTGGAAACCTGGCCAGGGTTTATGAGCACCTGGTCCCTTCATGGGATTCCCCAGAGCAGGGCTCCCGGGATTAACGAATGCCACAGAGGGTATTATACATACACATCTGTACCTTTCAGCACCGTCAGCAAAGAACTGTCCACTGGACCTTGGGACCAACCCTCCCCTCCAGGTTCCTCCTTTAGGGACCAA